GCAGGAACAAATCATGTCTGAAACCCAGTTTGGGCTGCCATTCAAGAGACCAGCCTAAGGGTGCGACAGGTGGCCGCTGATCTTGGCCGTTGGGCTTGTGATGTGATAGCGGTGGATGATGTATTGGCTTTCGGCCCTGAAGGCTTCGGAGTCGTCATCCGGGAGGAGAGTAATTTAGGATGTGGGGATGCCTGTCAGACTCGCTCAGGCCGCGACTGGGGAGTACGATGATTGACTGGGTGCCTAACTAGAGCCCACAGAGCTTAGAGTGCCGAGTGCCTATGCGCGACTGTTTCGTGTTCGGCCAATTTACGCGTGTTCCTGGTCGCGTCTTGTCGTCTTGAAGAGACCGCAACGCAATCTACGTGGTTCCCAGTCACACACATCGATGCAGGCAAGATGGCGTCGAGACCAGAACTCAAGGTACATCTCTCCCTTAGGCTGCATTTGAAAGCTACTCACGGGATGGACAGGTCGACGACGAGGGTGGCTTCATCCGCTCCTTTCGCGCATTGCCACCAAAACCCGATGGAAACAACACCATCCGTGTGCTCGACCGATCCGACTACTACTCAGCGCACGGTGAAGATGCAGAATTCATCGCAAGGACTGTGTACAAGACCACGGCTGTCATCAGAAATCTAGGTCGTTCCGAAAATGCTCTACCCAGTGTCACTATGTCCACGACAGTGTTCCGCAACCTCCTCCGAGAATCGCTCTTCAAACTGGGCAAGAGAGTGGAAATATGGGAGGCAAGCGGCAAAGGACAGTGGAAGCTCGCTCGTCAGGCCAGTCCTGGCAATTTACAGGCTGTTGAAGAAGAGCTCGGCTCGGGGATGGACAGCCAGGGCGACAGCGCACCGATTATACTAGCCGTCAAGATCAGCGCAAGAGCTGGCGAGGCCAGGAGTGTTGGTGTCTGCTTCGCTGATGCTAGTGTGAGGGAGCTAGGCGTCAGTGAGTTCCTAGACAACGACCTCTATTCCAACTTTGAGAGCCTCCTCATCCAGTTGGGGGTCAAAGAATGTATCGTGGCCGGGAGTTTACAGAAAAAGGATCCCGAGCTGGCGAAGATAAAACAAATTGCTGATTCATGCAACATTGCCATCTCCGAGCGAGTCGCTTCAGACTGGGCGACCAAGGATATTGAGCAAGACCTGGCTAGGCTTTTGAAGGGCGAGAACGCCATGGGACTTCTACCTCAGACTGACCTCAAACTAGCAATGGGCAGTGCAGCAGCGCTGATCAAATACCTTGGTGTCATGACAGATCCCAGCAACTTCGGCCAATATCGACTGTATCAGCACGACCTTGGTGGCTACATGAAGCTTGATGCAGCTGCACTCAGGGCTCTGAACCTTATGCCTGGCCCGAGAGATGGGGCGAAAAACATGAGTCTCTTCGGTCTGCTCAATCATTGCAAGACTCCCATCGGAGGCCGCCTGCTAGCCCAGTGGCTCAAGCAGCCATTGATGAGCTTAACAGAAATTGAAAAGAGGCAGCAGCTTGTGGAAGCTTTCGTCACAGACACCGAACTCCGTCAGACAATGCAGGAAGAGCACCTTCGGTCAATACCAGATCTATACCGCCTGGCCAAGAAGTTCCAGCGGAAGCTGGCAAACCTCGAGGATGTAGTCCGCGCATATCAAGTCGTCATCCGGCTTCCAGGCTTCATCGAAACCCTGGAAACCGTGGTCGACGAGCAATACCAGATTCCTCTCGATGAGCAGTACACCTCGAAATTGAAGGACCTGGCTGGCTTCCTGGGCAAACTGGCCGAAATGGTGGAAACAACAGTCGACCTTGATGCCCTCGACCGCCACGAGTTCATCATCAAACCCGAATTTGACGAGAAACTCAAAGTGATCCGCTCCAAACTCGACAAAATCAAACAGTCAATGGATGCAGAATATCGACGAGTCGGCAAAGATCTTAATCAAGAACTTGATAAGAAACTTTTCCTCGAGAACCACAGAGTGCACGGTCATGTGTTCAGGCTCACCCGCACCGAAGCTGGATGTATACGAAACAAGAAGGACTACAAGGAAGTTTCTACACAAAAGAATGGCGTCTTTTTTACGACAAATACCTTGCAAGAATTAAGGCGAGAGCATGATCGGCTCTCGGGGTCTTACAACCACCAGCAGAATTCACTCGTATCCGAGGTCGTGGGTGTGGCTTCGTCATATACTCCGGTGATTGAACAGCTAGCGGCCATTATCGCCCACCTTGATGTGGTGGTCAGCCTGGCTCATGCATCGGTGCATGCTCCAACAGCATATGTTCGCCCGAAAATGCACGAACGAGGCACCGGAGATACCATCTTAAAAGAAGCACGCCATCCCTGCATGGAAGCTCAGGACGACATCAACTTCATCACCAACGATGTCGAACTCAAGCGGGACAGCTCAAGGTTCCTCATCATTACAGGTCCGAACATGGGTGGGAAATCCACGTACATCCGTACAATCGGCTGTATCGCTCTTATGGCGCAAATCGGCTGCTTCGTGCCCTGTTCAGAAGCAGAGCTAACAATATTTGACTGCATTCTTGCCCGTGTGGGAGCATCCGACTCCCAACTTAAGGGTGTCTCAACGTTTATGGCCGAGATGCTCGAAACCGCGAACATCCTCAAGAGCGCTACGCAAGATTCCTTGATCATCATCGATGAACTCGGTCGCGGCACGAGTACTTACGACGGGTTCGGCCTCGCCTGGGCAATCAGCGAAGAAATCGTCGCTCAAATAGGTGCATTTGGATGTTTCGCCACGCATTTCCACGAGTTGACTGCATTGGCCGACAAGTTCCCCAACGCGGTCAAAAATCTTCACGTCGTTGCATTTGTGGGCGACCAAGACACGAAAATGACAGGTGGCGACGATCCTTCGTCAAAGAAGCGCAGAGAAGTCACATTATTGTACAGAGTCGAGCCTGGCATCAGTGATCAGAGTTTCGGCATCCATGTGGCTGAACTTGTCCGCTTCCCGGAGAAAGTCATCAACATGGCACGTCGCAAGGCCGAAGAGCTTGAGGATTTCACGAGTGCAGGCGGAGAAACGAAGACGGAGGACTTCTCGAAGGAGGATGCAGATGAAGCAAACAAGTTGTTAAAGGAGATGCTGAAAAACTGGAAGCAACAGATCGAGGAAAGAGGAAATATGAGCAAAGACGAAAAGCTACAACTGATGAGGGAAATGGTAAAGAACGATGAAAGGCTGATGGGAAATCCCTTTTTTCAATCTGTTCAAACACTGTAAAAGACCGGACAGTGGTGAGGGTTGACATAGTGTCCAAAAGCATGGTGTTGGGAGTTCATTCACTGTGCTGACTCGGGGTCGCAAAGATTCGATGTTGTGTCAATAGTGAATCTCGGAAGGTAGGTTGATGCTGAATTGTTCTGCTTTTCTAATGAATTTTGCCGGACCCATGCCATGCTCTAAAAGTTCGATTGAGCTCATATGCACAGATATGACGAGAGTTGTCCTACTCTCATCCGAATGGACAACACCTTCAGCTAGCGTTCAGCCCACAGGCCCTATGAAGCCGCGTTCTTGATATTGCCCCGAACATCGTCATTGCCACCATACTGCTGCTCGTATTGCTTCTTCAGGTGCTCCGGGCCTTCTCCAGCCGCTCCCTGGTCAAAATCTCCTGCTTTTGTTGGCCGACCGGTGTTCTTCTGGATGTCTCCGCCCTCTTCGACGGGGATCTCGCGGTTGTTTCCCGCCCCCGAGACTTTGCTGCCGTACTCGGCGGTGCTGCCGGGGAATTTGTTGGTTACGCTTTGGTCGATTCCAGATTCATCAGCTGGAAGCGGTGTTAGCTTGTTACAGAAGCGAATGCCGGGGGCACAATGTACTGCTCAGACTTCCTCCGTGGCCTTGCTTGGCCTGCTGAGAACTTAGATCACGCTCAGCGGCTTTGGCGATGTCGATGGGGTCTTGGCCTTTGTATTCTGCGGACATGGTTGTGATCTGTGTATGCTTTCAACTCGAAGCTATTGAATGAAGGCAGGTCGTGTGACTCTCTGAGAAGATGATCTAGGAGTAGTGTGTTAGTTGCCCGCCAAATATATCCCACGCCCACTCACAGAATTTGTACCTGCGTTCATGGCATCATTGGCAAGCCTTGAGGCTCGTAGCATGATGTCATTCGCATAACGTCATGATGCTCGCTTCGTGCTCCTGGCCTCCCCGGAAACGAAATCCGTTACTGCGGGTTTGCGCAAGGCTGAGAGAACCCCCTTATATAAGCCTTGCAATCAAGCAGCTGAAAGTTGGGACTTCACTACTAGCCTCACCATCACTTCGCCTTTTGGTTGACATATATATTTTGATTGACGAAATTGGTGACTCTGTATGCACAACCCTCTCAACATGTGGCCTATTTCTCGAACCCAGGAAATGTCGCGCCATCAGGCGGATTACAGGTCGTCAAGTTTGGAGTTCCCTGCCAAAACAACCACCAAAGTCACTCGTAGCGTGAGTTCATGAGAATTGTTCCCGCTACAAGAGAAACTGGCTAGTATAAGGGGTGCGTCCTGGTCTGGCTTTGAAGCGTTCGGGGTTCGAAACTGGGGTCTTGGGGCTCGAATCTGATTTTGCGCCGTCGGAATGGCTCATTGATCTTTTTGTCGAGAGTCGATGTGTGCGGGCTTGGAATTCTGTGCTGATGAAGCAGTATCGTAGCAATAGGCGTGGAGACTGTTGGGTGAGGCAGCGACCAAGCAGGGTGCGATCTCAGCTCTGAGAGAATGGCAATGTTCACCTCGGACATCGCCCTGATTGCGATAGTCACTCCTTCCACACAGCTCCACGACACCGAGCAGGTACCATCGATGTGACGGAGCCGGCTACTAAGGATGCAGTGCTCCTTCCTCCTCATGCACGAATCATGAACAGCTTCTACATCACCCGGTTTGTCCTTCTCTCTCTCTTTTGCACGAATCAAAGCATTGTCCGTCATCTTGTCGTCGTGTCAGGCCTATACCTCGAAGCACGATGCCTGATACGCAGATATCACTTGACCCTCGTTCTATCAGTGCTAAAAGCCGCAGGTCTTCAGTCTCTGCAATACCCCGTCCTGTATCTGGCACCTCTCGTCGAGCCACTCCCACAGTTTCCAGAGCCGGAAAAAGAGACTCGACAGCAGTGGCCCCTACTCTGAACCGTCATGATCACAGAAAATCATGGCACTCTAGAACCAGTCTCGCACCCACGTCGTACCGGAGACCACAGCTCCAGGTATCGCAGCCCTCAGAATATTCTCTCCCATACCAGCAGCGGGCCCAACAAGACCTCTCTGGTACACGACAGCAGCTTTACATTCGCAATCTCTCCACCCATTCACTGAATGTCCCTGATACAGATACGGGCCTTCACCAGCTCAAGCAGACCTCAAGTTCCAATGCACTTCCTAAATCAAAGACGATCAACAGCTTCCGGTCTCCGATCCGCGACACGACGCCCGGGAGACGTCTCCTTCAACCTATCGGCCCACCAATGCTCAGGACGCAGACTTTAGGAAACATCTCATGCTTCAGTCCCGCGAACCACTCGCCTTCACCAAGGAAGCCCCAATCAGTTTCGCTCCCACCTGCGCAGCACCACCACAACAACGTCAGCCAGCTGAACATTGCTGATGCCTTGGGTGAAAGCAGGATGACCAAAGAAGAGATGGACCTAATGAAACAAGTCCAACGAGAGGCTGCAGCTAACCGTGCTCGGCTTCGAAACGCACATCAACAATACAAACCCCTACAATCTGCAGCTTCCGAAGGATCCACGGCGAGCAGAGAGATTCCAATCCTTGACTCGTCCGCGAATGATGCAGCCAACATTCCCCGCCCCGAAGGGGACAAGAAAAGATCTTCATCTGGTACGCTGCTGTACATCAACTCCACCTTGGCAAACAAGAACTGGCAACAGAGTAAGCCCTCAACGGCAAGAAGTTTGACGAGCATTGGGAGCATCACCAGTTCAGAGCCAAGTCAGAAAGAGGAGAATGACCCTAGGAACGTAAGTCGACTCCGTCTGGTGTGGTATTGTACTTCTGTACTAACAGTCAATCAGGTGCACGTCGCAGAACCGACGGCGTACTGGACTGGTCGATATATTTCCTTGTGTGACCGACTCCGGATGGCAGAGCTCAAGAGACCCCCTCCATCACCGTCCGAGACCAATGAGAAGCAGATTGATCGTTTGTTCGAAAGTAGTGAGAAGGTTCGAATGAACTCTGCTCTGGAAGAATTGAGGGAATTTTGCAAGACTTCCGAAGCACTGAGGAGCTTCGAAGCCTTTGAGGGCCCTTTGCTGAAAAGCATGGGGATATCTCGCCAAAGCCTCCACCGAGCAGGTGCTCTTGCGTATGGAACCAACGAGGCGGGCAGGGGGTTGACAGCATCGCGGACGATGCCATTAGCAATGACTGTGTCCCATACTCCTGGCACTATATCATCCCCAATGAGTCGGATCTCTAGCGCCAATGCTGAGACTGCTATTACGGATGCATCCAATGCATTCTATGGTGAAGGTAATTTGACGAAGAGTAAAACGACCGGCAACCTATCGTCGTTGATCCCAATCATTCCAAAGAGACGACATGTTATTATAAGTGGACCTGCACCCAAAGCGAACAGCGTCCAGCAATCTTCGCATAGGCGGAAGTCTTCTTACTTCGAGTGCTCCCCCGAGACAAGAACCAAAGCACTGAAGGAGAGCGAACAGCGCGCGGCTCGAAGAGTGGCGGAAGCACATCAGCGATCGACGTCGCAAGCCCTCTCTCCCGACGGACCGAGCAGCCGTCCATCCTCTGGTAAAGTCGGTGAAGCTGCAGAGCAGAGTCGACCTCAGCCCCCCTCTTACAGCACTAGAATCACCGGATATGATGAAGTCGGCTATTCATTGAGTGCTACCGCATTAGAAAGCGGACATGGACTACCACCACCAGCGCCGACAAACGGTGCGACATCTCGGGTTGAGCTGGTCAACATAGCTTCGGGCGGCAAGGAGAAGGTGATCAAGTCTCGACGCAAGCCAGAACGACAGTTCAGTGGGGATAGGGTGAAGAATTTCCTTGAAGCCGGGGTACGAGAGGTGAGGAAGATGGGCCGCCGAGTCAGTGGTATGAGCTGGCCAGGAAGCGGTGTGGACTAGTCTGTCTGGGGGTGTCAGCGGTGAGAATGTGCTGTTATAGGTGTATGAAGAGGGGAATAACGGTGCGCCGTAGCCCCGAGCCCACTGCGTCTTACTGGTAACGTTAGGCACACCAACTATCATGAAAGTCTCCACATCAATATCCAAGATCACTGCAGATCAAGCTCCCGGAATACAGGTACACCACAGACCACTTTATACAGGAACCCAGTGAATCTTCATCCGTACTTTCCTCTGGCCACCGCCGTCGTCCGCAAAAACATCCACTTTGTCAAACCGGCCTGGCACCCTCTCCGCCCAAAAGACACTGCTGTTGCGATATGCCAGGACCTTCTCATCGTCAGCACTACTGGAGAAAATGCCCTGCACGGAAGCTTGTCTTGTGCATTCGAATTTACTCGTGGCCGGATTGACGAGGCAAGGCGAGTAGGACGAGGAGAGGGAGAATAGCGGGGCATGTCCGGGGTCGACGACGTCGCGCTTGGAGCGGAACGTGGCACATTGGCCCGAGGTATACCATTCGCCGTGGCGGATCAGACAGCCTTTCTCTCCCGGGGTGTCGAGGACGTGCATTTCTAAATGGCCCTTGCCGGTAAAGGGCTCGGACGGGGGGGCTGTGGGTTCCGGCGGTTGTGACGTCGAGTGCGTTGCTGTAGGGGAGTGCGACGAAGGGTGTTTGGGCAGGTATTTGATGCCCCGGCGTGGACAGTTTGACAAGATCCCATCAGGTGGGGCGGGGACGAAGTGTCTGTGCACCGTGCTCGCGTTGAGGAATGGTGAGGCGGCGGCGGCCGCCGATTCACCACCGGGAAGTGACCCCGCTGTGTTGGCGTACGTGCTACTGTGACGAAGCGAGCCCCTCACGCTGAAATGGTACCATATCTCGTTCAGTTCGCCCTTGTAATTACAGCGGAAGGTGACCGGCTGGGCGTGCCTCGAGGAAGAGACCGCGTCTTCGAGATCGCCCAGGGTGTATCGCTTGGTGGCACTGGGGAGGATCCCTGCCTCTGCGAGAATCGAATACGTGTCCAGCGTGCGGAATAGGGACGTCGTGTGGATGAAATAATCCAGCACATCGAGATGATGATGGGGAGGGGAAGGACGACCACCACCCAGCGATGGAGCCTCCGGTCCGTAACAGTCCGGTTCAAGCGTGGAGATGCATGTGCCGTGTTTGTTCCACTCGTGGGACCAGAGGTGTTCGTCGTCCCCATCGTAGGACAGCCAGTAGGTGCGCATGAAGTCGAGCAGTTCGGCGATCATGCTGGAGTCACTGTCCGCCAGGGCCCGACTCAACACGCCGGGTATGTCGGAGTGAGTGCGGGATGAATCGCAAAAGGCATCGAACCCGCCGCTGCACAGGTCAGGCCATAAGCCGTGGATGGTCCATGACGTGTTGGGGCCGATTGGGGGTGCCGTGTCCCAGAACTGAGTCTGCAGGAAATGGCCGGAGGGATGGTTGATGCAACATGTGTTCAGTGACTCTGGCGGCGAGGTAGGACAGGAGAGCGTGGGCGGGTTTGGGCAGGAGTGCTGGTTTGGTAGCAATGGGGGTGGTGGTGGTGGTGATGATGATGATGATGATGATGGAGAAAGGGCACTGTGGAGGTTGGATTCTAGGGGGATTTGGTGATTGAGTAGAGATGAGAGAAGGGGGATTTGGGACACGAGTTGGGATAGGGGAAGCATCTTGGATCGATTTGAGCAAAAGAAAAATATGAACAACGTTAGAGGTATGGATGTATTCAATATTCGTTTGTTGGCTGATGTTTGAAGAATCGACAAGTCCCAAGGAGTCGAGGTTCGTTGACAACGCGTCGGTCGTCGGTCACGGGTCAGTGTCGTCTGATCAACAAGGATGACGTCAGCAAGGCTGACACATAACGCTCACGAGGCTGAAAGCGCCAGAGCTTATGATCCCCCGAGTACTCGTACGGAAGAGTCTTGTGGATATATCGTTCCTCCTTGTTTCCTGATCTCGTCCATGATCTCCATGACTCGCAAGGTCTCTTTCCAGGGCATGATGGCGCTCTCCTTGCGGCCGGCAGCGATGTCGAGAGCGGTGTTGTCCGCCTCGTAGATGAACCCGCGGCCGATCTGTGGATAATCGTACTTTTTACTGTCAAGGTCGTCTTTGGTGTCATTCTTCGTGCCTGCTTTTCGGCGGTAGACGGCGAACGACAGGGGGAGTGCCGGTGCTGCGCCTTCAACATCGACACGTCCTTCGGTTCCCTGGATCCGGCAAACCACGGGGTCGCGGAGCCCGGACATGGTCGTGGACGTGACCACTCCTTGTCTCCCACTCGAAGGGTACTGCACCAGGACGCTTGAAGTCACCTCGACTCCGTGTAGATGAGTTTGTGTGGCTAATATCTTCGGCCTCTCGGAATCCTCCGGTGTGTTTGGATCCAGTGCCAGGAAAGACCAAGTCAGTGGGTAAATGCCGAGATCCAGCAGCGTTCCTGCGCCGAGGTTGAGGTCTTTGTACCGTGACGTGTCCGGTAAGTTTGGGATGTCGATCAGTAGAGAAAAGTCGGACGCCATACGGAATACATCCCCAATAACTTTGTCCTCGAAGAGGAGTTTCCTCAGCTCGGCGACCAGCGGACGGTGCCGTAGCCACATTGCCTCGTGGACATAGACGTTCTTCTTCTCTGCTGCAGCAAACACTTCCCTCGCCTCGGCGGCGTTGATAGTGAATGCTTTTTCGCAGAGGACATTCTTGCCTGCGGCAATGGCATCCAGACAATTCTTCTTATGGAACGAATGCGGAGTGCCTATGTAGACACAGTCGACGTTTGGATCGTTGTAGACTTCCTCGTACGTGCCGTAGACGGTGGGACTGGCTTTCGGACAATATTTCGCTGCAAAAGCCTTGCCCTTCTCAAGCGATGAAGAGCCAATGCATTGAATCACATGGTTTGCTTTTGCGTCTGGTCGATCAAGGACCAAGTCTTCGACGAACCATGATGATATGAGACCAGTTGCTAGACGTGGGTCAGTTTGGTCAGTGCATCAATCGACCTTCAACTGAGCGATTGTGACGCACAGACTATTCCCCATCTGCATATAGGGACATTGGCAGCCATTTTCGAACCTGTATCCTGCTTTTCGCTAACCTACCGGTATAACCGAAGAACGGAGCTCTCCGCCAGTCCATATGCTTCGTTCATCGCCTCTCAACCCCGTTGCCGCTTTAGTGGACGACATGTGACCGGGGCTGAAAGTGGGCCTCTTGTCGTCCGCGCCGTTGTGCCTCCGCCAGCCCCCACAATTCATGCGGCGTTTCCTCCACCTCGCCGTTATCCACTCGTGCCACTCTTCTCATCCTTATGTCCTTGAGAGACACGGGTACATGTTGGCGTATATTCAAACCTGCAGCTGTTCTTTCATCTGCAGCATCCAGAAGTCACCAGACATACACAGAGGACGCCAGACGAAGGCCGGCACATTCCTTTCCGCCGAGGACTGCGCCCGCAAGACCTTATCAAACACCCAGTACTTGGCGGCAACGCTCCACCCTCGGCCGAACGCTGGACTACATCATCCTGCAGCAGTTGTCTTGACCTGCCTCAGAATCTGCAACGGGCACAGCGGGGCTCCTTCCTACGGCTGGGTTCGATCCTTTTTCACTTCCTCGATCTTCTCCCGTTTCTGCACCGTATTGGCCTCAACAGTCACAATCCAGTCACCCCGTCGTCCGGACAAGCAGGTCGCATGCCGACAACAGACTCCGTTCTCTACCTCGAACCCTCGTTCCAGAAACGAGCCAACATGGGCCGCTTCATGACCACAATCCTTTCCTGCCTGCACAATCTCCTCATCCAGGTCCCGCAGAACGGCTACCATAATATCTCCCGCGTGGTGCAGCCCCAGATTCGAAGCCTGTCTGATAGTTTCGTGGCATCGTCTTCTGTCCGCCCTGCTGCCGGCATGAAGAAGGGAGACATCGAGTTGCAGTCAATGAAGCCGAAGAAGATGGATACGGCACCACCGAGGACGGAGGGACAACATCAGACCGTGCCGACGCGATGAATAGGACGATGCTTGAAAAGATATTCAACTATGACTGTACAAGACGCCAGCTTGGCACATTGCGCAAGGATCCAGCCAGCCAGCCTCGCGACAGGAGGAACGACATACCGACAGTGAACCGACCTCACGGCGTACCGCCTATCTCGTGTGCCCACCATCATCGCGCCGCGGCTTCCATTCTGCTTGGCGACCAATAGTTTGGCTATGTCTACAGACAGGACGGTGGTATCACCAATAACGCGCAAGCGTGCGAATCAACACCGGTCAATACAGCTCAATCCTCAGGCAGACGATCTATCTCGCAAACATGGATGGATGGAGGACGATGGATTTATGCACGGATGAAAGGACGGACCCTTCTCCCAGGGTCGCGACCAAAAACAGTACCATGCAGCTTCGACACGCATCTCCCGACCACGAATACATCACAATATAGTACTCCGTACTTCGGGACTCAAATATACTCTAAGTCGCACATCCGTATCTCTACCGATGCAGCTATTCCCCGCAAGCAAGACGCAGTATACGCCAAACAGCCCATACGATGAGGACGTGGAGCGTTGATGTACTTTACACAGTAAGACACAGAAGAGTAGTCTGTCCCCGTCTGGATGGCGGATGGGAGAGGTGGGGAGGGTTCGGTTCGCACTACGCACCGTGAGACCATCAGGGGGTGGGGGGCTTTATCCGAGATCTATATTTTTCGATTCGATTTCGGGGTTATAGCTCCGAGTTCGATGGTAATCAGACAACAAGGTCGAGGATGACACCGTCGCCGACGCCGCCGTCGATGAGTGACGGAACTGAATAAAAGCGACGGCACGTACACATGCCCTACGTACCGTGTAGACGAGTCTATGCATCTACACCCCTTGACGGAATACAATGACTTGATTATATTGGATTATATTCCTAGTACATGATTGTCCTCAGCTCGTCTTCGGGACCATCCTACCATGGCATGCACCACCCGGTACCCTACAGGCACTGGATCCTGTTCTTCTCTGTGGGAAACTCTGCTTATCGACATGTCGACCGACGGGTAGATGTTCCAAGGACCGGGTGACTCGGCATGGCTGGGACTCCGTACGGTCGTGGCACATGACCGACTGTTATCTGTCTGGACCCAAGGGATTACAGTCACTGTGCGATGTCGTGACTGTTTGCCGTAATCCTGGCTATCCTGCGGTCTCGTCATCTTATTGAGCTCTTGGTCTACGTGTGCTCTTGTCGAGGGATTGCTAGGACGATTCGTGGCAAAGCGCGGTGTGGCGCAACGCATATCAAACGTCTACCTAGTCCTTCGGTTGAGTCTGTCTCACAATCATACGTTTCATTCATTCCATCATAATGGCTAATCAGCCAGGTCGTCATCTGCCCTGTGGGCGACTGATATCCAAGAAACCGTCCTAGGCAGCTCGAAGCCATAAGACTTGACCAGCCCTCATTTTGGGCCGTTCGCCTCCTTGCTCGCTATCAGGGACAGACACGACAATGTCAGCACTCATCAGCTGCAAGACTTGATGTCTCTTCATCTTCATCGCAGCTTTTTGACCACCACAGCCGTCAGGCACACAACCTTCCACAATCCATCTTCACCTCTCACATGAACCTTAGCACCCCTTCCGCTTCCTTGCGCTCGACCTTGTCAACCTACGGGTGTCATCCACGAATATGCCGTCCGCTCATATGATACAGCTGCGCCACAGTCTTGGGTTCCGAGTCCTCAGTACGGTATCCAGCAGAGGACCCAGTGCTCACTACACTCTCGCGGGCAGGATTCGTAAAACATTCGCGTCGGTCTTGCGTAGATTCGCCACTGGAATCACGGTCCCGGGCAAATTGTGGCTGAAGTTGTGCTCGTTCTTGACCGACCACACCGATTTCACCATCGCGCATCCCAGCGTGATGATCATTGTCGCTGTTGTGGGAGCCGCCCGCGCGTCGAAGGTCGCGGGTTCCTGCACGCAGATGAAGGACCCGGGCCACGCCAGTGTGGATGTCTTGGTCATTGTCTTGGCGATTTTCCTGCCAGTTGTTGTTACTGTAGGTAGCTGCAGGGTGCCGACCGGTGTTTCGAAGACGAGGCGGTGGACTGCCTGTCCCTCCAGTAATACCGGCACCACGCATGATTCGCTCAATGTCAGTCTCTGTCCCGCTGCTGGCCAGGTCAGAGGAGGAGTTTAGCATATCCAAGGCGCAAATGCTCTTGCGGTAGACTTCTCGATCGCTGCTTCCGACGCTATGATCAGAACCGTCGTCCTCATGAACATTTTCGAGCCTCGATCTCTGATCTTCATCTTGAGATCGACGCGATTTTGGTGTTGAGACTTCGGTTATTCTGCTCAGAACTCGTCGTGCAGTCTGCGAAGTCTGGCCCATGATACCGTGGCTCAAGTAGTCGGATGCTATCTGTGCTTGCAGTGGACTCTCCATAGAAGATGTGATGCTTGCCAGACGGGCTGTTGCGAGCTGCGACATCGACATGGGATCTGCCGGCAGAGGTTTGTCTTTGTTGATAGGAGATATGGGAGACGTGGTATTACTACTACCATATCCAAGGGAATCGGAACGTGGTGGAGCAGGGGCAACTGGGTCTGCTGGGGCTTGGTTGGCAGCAGGCGTCCAGGCAGGAACACCTGAACCTTGCGTTCTGTCGACGGGAGTATTGGGAGCGGTGCGTGCCGAACGCTGGTTTGTGTGCGTCTGCAGCGAAGGCCGATGCCAGAGCGCTTCTTTGCTAACACCCGGGGCCACTTCTTTGGAGGAATATCTGGCGTCGACAGATGAAAGACCCAGTGTGCTTTGACTGGCCGGTATAATCCCCTTCTTGTACTTGTCCTTCTCCATGCCGAAAAACCTCAGTGCCTTTGAAGTGTTGCTGCTCTTCGCCGCGGCAGAGTATGGGTCTGGCTGTGTATGAAGCATTGCCTGCGTTTGAGCGACGACGTTCTTGACGTCCTCGCGTCGGGCAAAGACTTCCTCACGAGCACTGCCGAGCTTCTGGCGTAGGTTGGCAATCTCAGCGTCCTTTTGATCGAGTTCAAGTTCGTGTGCGGTCTTCAAGCTCTCCATGTTACCTCGAAGCTCCTCGTAGCATCGAGTCATCACCTCGGCCTCTGTGGCAGTCTCCCGGCTCTCAGCTAGAGCGCTCTGATTTTCCTGCAACTGTTTGGTCAGATCGTCGTTCTTCTGAACCAGGAGTAGTATCTCGTGGTCCTTTTCCCGCACCATCTTGACCGCCTTCTCGTACTTCACGGCATGGGCGTCGAGGTTCTGCGACTGATCCTTGATCATGGCGGATTGTCCATGCAATACCTTTCGGTATTCGCCGACGAGATTTCGGGCTTCGCGTACGTCGGCCGCGTACTTGTTGAGGGTTTCTTCGGGGATGCGGAGATAGTCGACTGAAACAAGGCTGTCATTACGAGTGTAGTCGGCGATGATGCGGAGAACTTGCTGGGTGCGTGGCTCGTTGATGGTCTCGACCCAGCTGGGAAGATTGTTCTGAATGAATGTGCCCAGGAGACGTGCGATCTCGTGGACGGTGTTTCGCAGCTCCGAAACCCGCTGATCTCTTTCTTCGATCTCTTTGTCTTTTGCATCCATTAGTTCGAGCGCCTCTTCAACTTGTTCTTCTAGGGCTTTGACGCGTTCCTTGTTGGCTTTGCCATCCCGTTCTGCGAGTGACTCGGCCTGCTCGACAACTTTGCGGTACTCTGCAGTGATGGCTCGCATTTGATCGGAGAAGGTCTTGAGCACCTAATGAATGTCAGCAGCCAGAAGAATGCCGGAGCTCATATCACTGACACTGTTCAAGGTGACCTGGTCAACGCTGCTCTCCATCTGTAGATTGCCTGCTTCGTTGAGCACGCCGATCATCTTCTCTATCTGCAGGCGCATAGCAGGGAGCCAGTGCTGGGAGATTATGCCAGAGTCGCAGTCGGGAAGAGTATCGAGTAACTCCTCAATGGTCATCACTGCGAAGGGCTTCGTAATCGCAGGGGTGCGACCTCCGATGGTGTACGAGGTTGGCATGTCGCTCCTAGATCGGTCGTGTTTTCTCGTGGTCAAGTGTCGAAAAGTGTCCATCGTGCCTTCTTCTGTGGACACCGACGCTGACAGCGAAGGGACAGAACTCAGTGTTGACTCGGCAGTGTCCCTACGCAGGAGTCGAAGCGGCGGCGGAGGTGAGATGGGATCTGTTTGCCGAAAACCCTGGCTTGCTTGAAGGAGTGAACCCGGGAGCTCGGCAACAAGTGAATGCTGCTTCGGACTGATCGGTGTATGCGGTGGTGAAATCAACATTCTGTTGGGTACGGCAGAACCGTAGTGTGAAGCTGTTGTCGGATATGCACCATCCACAGTTGCTACCGGCGAGTATTTTCGTCGGTCTGTCGGTGTCCTTGGAGTTGAGAGACCGTCACCGATCCCTAGTCTTGGAATAACAGTAAACTGAACTGAAGATGTCATCAAAGATCCGCAAGCGCTTGATATTCGAAGGGGCGGACGGGCGGAACCCAGTTCTTGCACCTGCTTGCCATTGACTCTCGTGTTTGTCTGATCATTGACCTTGCCTCCAGGGCACACGAGTCCACCGAGTCCACCGTTCGGTACCATCCTGGTCGTGTGGGTGGGCGTCCTGGAACCAAACAATGAGGCCATGTCTGTGCATGAACGAGCGAAGCGATCAACATCTGAGAGGGGGAAGACATGCTAGCAGCACAGGACTTCAATTCCGAGTCGCGATACATATCTCTGTGTATGCATAGTCTGCCATATGGCACCAAAGAGACAGAGGCCGAGGCCTACATTTTCTATGCAGGGGCTTGAAGCAGAAACAGTGTCAAGAAGTAGCTTCGTTGAAGCTTCTTCAGGAATAGGACAATACGATAGACCAATCAAGCAATGCAAGAGATGGCCTTCAAGCTCTCGGCCATGTGGCTTCGATTGTGCTACCATGCGTGGGCTCGCTTGACCTCAGGCGACGAGGCGCTTAAGCCAGGCCATCACGGGGCCAGCACCCAACACCTGACAGCACCGCACAGCTGGATAAGTATCATCATGACACGACCGACGGCCACAAGTGAGAGCCGATCCTTCAGCACGGAGTATGGCCGTTCGAGGACAGCAATAGTGGCACTCGAGCGAGGACGAGAGAACGAGAGGTAGAGCTGGAAGAGAAGGAGACGAAGCTGTGCGCCACAAACCACAAACGGGCTGGTGAAATCTCGGCGACGGGGGCGTCGATTGCTCCACATTCGTGTCGACGACATCAGCGACATCAAATCTCGCTGACTTCTTCAGAATCCGCCTCCAACTCCTCCAATAAATTCAGAAACGATCCTTCTGTTTCCTCCCACGCTCCTCATTTGCCGGCCTGCACAAGTTATTTTGTAGCTTGGAGCAGACGATGAATTCACCCGGTGCTGAAGGCCGACCTTCAAAAAGAGCGAAGACAGATAATGAGACCACCACCGAAGGCCCAGCACCTCCCAAATCGAAACCCGGCAAACACCAGTCGGCGGCACAGAAGGCACAGAGTTCCAATCAGTCTCGCGGCAGACCCACCAACCGACAGCGAGCCACAATCAGCGCGTCCGGAATCCACAATGGTGATGTCGGGATACTGGTCACAAGCGACAAAGGCCAGGAAAAGAAATGCTTGCAAGAACTATCAGACTTCCTTGCAGAGGTACGCCCTGTCGCGCCGTGACAAGTGCTTGTTGACTAAATCCCACTAGTTCTTTGATCAGGAAGACCACTCAAGGGCGGCAGCGATGGATGAGGATCACAAGGAGACTGTTACGGAGAAGGAAGTGGACATTGAAGCTGATATCTCTGCTGAGCTAGACTCTCTGCGGCCTCAGGGACCGGGCACAGATGGCGCGTCACAACAACTTTCTTTGGTAACGCTGGACATACCCTGTGTCTCCTTTGTCCGATTTCCAGCCAAATCTACAGTTGACCCCGTTGAAGTCGTACGCAAGATTTGTCTAACTGCGTCAAATGGGGACCGGGCTGGGCTGCGAAGTCGGTACATCAGGAGGCTTACTCCAGTCAGTCTGATGAGAAAGACGCTGAATGAGGGCCTCGCGACACTTTGCAGCCAGATACTGCCCAAGCACTTTCGGGTCGAGAGCGAAGCTGAAGACGCTGGAAACCATCGCGAGAGCAATCTGCGCCCCTCCCAAACACCCTGCAAATTTGCTATCCGCCCAACCATCCGCAACAACAATAAAATCAACCGAGACGGAGTGATCCGGACCGTTGCAGACAGTGTGGCCTCCTTGGGCAAGCACACGGTCGACTTAAAGGGCTACGACAAGCTTATCCTCGTGGATGTGTATCGAAATGTCGTTGGCATGAGTGTGGTTGGAAGCGAATATGAAACCCTGAAGAGGTTCAACCTGGCTGAGCTCCAGGCCAGTCAGTTCGGAGATGATGACAAGGACGAGAAAGTCTGAGGCCCGGTTCAGCCCTGCTGCTTCAGAAGGGCGGTTGATAGCCGATACGCTCCACCGTCCTGGCGAGCTCCGGGAACGAATTTGACAGACTCAATCTAGTCAGGGTGTTGCTTCGACGTACGCTGTCCCTGAGTCGACTCCAGAGTGGCTGCGAGTTCGATGGACTTGACTGCTTGGTTTCCCTCACAACAGCTACCTGCCGCCCACTTTCTTGTTCCTCCTGCACGCACCCTCTCAAAGTCCGCCGGCTCAGCCAGTAGCCTTGCAGGTTGCATCGGCCTCTCCGGCTCGTCGCAGGCGACTTCCGGGTAAGATAATGGTTCAGGCAGCGAATTCGATACGCTTTACTGAGCTTCACCGGAGTTGTTGGAAGAGTCGACGGCGGTTCCGAATTCCACGGCAAGGTCGAGTGGTATGGGACTGCGACCAATGGTTGATGCAGAGGAAGGAGAGGAAGAGGTTCGTCCGGAGGAGTTGACGGCGGCGACCAAGCTGCTGTCAGCACGGGATTGCGGTCTTTGGGAGGCGATGGAGCAGGTCTCGGTCGAGTGTACGCTGTTGAATTTTCGAAGCCAATCGTCAACCCTTGTTCGTCATATCTGCCAAGATGCAATGACGGGTCTTCGCTGGTCGACCACTCACCAGCAGTGAGATCGATGTCATCGTAAATGCTGCTACAAGTAGCTGAGGAGCCTCCTGCTGGTGTTCGAACCGGGAGTGGAGAGCTCGAGAGCCCCTTCTCTTTCGATGTCTGCGCCATTAAGAAGTACTCAAGGCTAACTCTACGACAGAGACGGAAAGTAGCAAGTGAGATGTGAGTCAAAAGTTCAAAAGTGAAGTTAAAGACATTCTTCCAGTGATGCTTTGATGTCTATCTCAGATTTCACTTTCAAAGAAACAGAATTTGCAGTCGGAAGTGAATGGAAACGACGTCGGGACAAAGCTGGCACTTCTCTTCACTCATCAACAATGGCATCACGATCCAATTGGCACCATGATGAAGAGACACTATGCTTGTCATCTCGGACCACTCTTTCGCTTTCCACAGGATGCTGACTTGTTGCTCATACCCGGCAGCCCCAGTGACCGCATACAGCATTCTGCAAAAGTTCTCGTGGAGCTTGGAGCTCGAAGCATCAGGTCATTCATGTATAACTCTCATCAGCGCGCTACACGGTGTTCAAGCCGCACTGAGCACGAGACAAAATCTGGAAATCTGGGCCTCCCTACCCCGAAAGGATGTTAAGGGAATCCTCCTTCAAACCCCTTATAGCAGCCAGGCGGGATGTAGCCAAACTCCATCTCTCTTCGGAGTACCAGCCCGCCAAACTCCAAGCAAGGCGCACATGCCCTTGACTTTCTTCACTCGCGGGGCCAGAGGGAGAAAATGCGTCGGGGTGATAGTCTGTTACGGTCGTGATTTCGATTATATGCAATAACCCACGACTGCTCGGTGGAGACATGGCTTGGCCTTTCAGTCTCAAGCACCGAAGCATGAGAAGGCAGTATTCAGCTCGGACAAGAAGGTACCGAAGTCATCGCAAGGATGGGAATGCAGCTCGACCCAGCAAGCCGATGCGTCTGCCATTGGCAATGACCAGGTCCTTCCTGAAACTGACTGTGGCCGGTGCGTCGTGCGGAGACACATGTAGAAGGATTGCTGCTGTAAGAGCCACCTAGATGGCGAAGGGGCCTATGCTAGCACAGAAGCGAACAGCCGGTGGCAAGCCTTTCACGTTTAGGCACAGTCGAAGTTTGATATCTGCGCGAGCCTGCTTGCGAACTCTCCCACCTTGGACAACATGTACGGCGCCGGTGGCGACCTCTCCAGCTGCTCAACTGCCATCTAGGGCGAAGACGGGCCTATTGACCCCACAGCGTCGTCAAAATATCTGGCTAAATGTTGAGAAGCGACACCAACCACCTTGTGAATCCGGGCTTTGACGATCCTCCTGGCTAGTCGAGACGGTCCTCTACTCGTCACCCTCCATGGCGGGGCCCCGCAGACAGGAGAGAAACAAACACGGCGAGCGAGCCTCCGTCCCCTTTCAGGCATGGTGCATTTCCTATCAAGTTGCCTTCCCGAAACAGCATATTATAAAATAGTCGAGATGGAATCAATGCTGTCCCCAAGGAGAACCCATTGCTCACTCCGTTTATCCACAATATTTACAGCATGGAGAAAGACGAGTCGCAGGTCCAAGAACTCGACAGGTCGTCACCAATGTGTCCGACCTCAAACAAGCACTGGCCACGGGCGATGCGAAGACCCGCAAAGTGAAGAACGTGGCATTTGCAGATGCTATTGCCAAGGACAACCCACAGCCATGGTCGGCTTCCATGCTGAAGCTTTATGCTGTGAGTCTCAGGGCGATACCATCACATGCGTGCTTCCCGGAACCAATCCCGTAATGCTAACTGCCTTTGTTCAGATCATGGCCGTCGTCACTCTGAGTCCGTAGATTGCCTGCCACCAAAGTATCTAATGTTGTGATTCTCTAACCCAAGGCTCAGATGATTGTGGAAACGGCTTCGACGGAACAATCATGTCGTCCATCAATGCCATGGACCCCTGGCACGATTACTTCAACGTGAAGATGCAAGGGGCCAGCATCGGTGCCGTCTTCGCTCTGTACAGCGTGGATAACATCCTAGCCTGTTTCTTTGTCGCCGCAGCATGCGACCTGTACGGCCGCCGCTTCGGCATGGGCTTTGGCTCCGTCTTCATCATCATCGGCACCATCATCCAGGCATGCGCGCAGAACATCGGCACGTTCATGGCCGGGAGACTGTTTCTCGGCTTTGGCGTCGCCATCTCCGTGACTGCTGCGCCGATTCAACTCGTGGAGATGGCCTATCCTTCCTGGCGAGGAGTCTTCTCTGGCCTATACAACGTATGTGGCTGGTACTTTGGTTCGCTTGGTAAGTCGTACTTCAGAGTCTCCAATGCCCCTCCGATTCCTGGTCTGACGGGAATCAGTTTCCACCTGGACCGCCTACGGCACCGGCAGACTCAGCTCCAACTGATTATGGCGCATCCCCATCCTCATCCAAATGGTCCCGGGCGTCGTCGTCCTCTGCCTAGTCTGGTTCATCCCCGAATCGCCCCGCTGGCTGACGGCCCACGGCAAGTCTGAACAAGCCAAAGCCACGCTGATCAAATATCACGGCGACGGCAACGCGGACTCGGCCGTCGTGCGACTGGAACTGCAAGAAATGCAAGCCTCGATCGACTATGACGCGGCGCTGAACAAGACCCAGCACTGGTGGGACTACCGCATGCTGTTCAACAACAGGGAGAATCTGTACGGAATGTGGCTCGCCGCCCTGGTGACCGTCTTCTCGCAATTCATCGGCGGCTCCGTCATCACGTACTACATGCCCGTCATCCTGAAGGACGTGGGCATCACGAGCTCGTCGCAGCAACTGCTCCTCAACGGCATCAACGTGATTTTCGGCTTTGTAAGCGGCGTCGCGGGCTCTTTCTCCGTCGAAAAGCTCGGCCGCAGACAGTTGTTTCACTGGGGTATGTAAGATTCGCGCACAAAAATAATACACAGCTACGTTCCCACGCCCCCATCAGTCAATTCAAACCACCCCGCCCGTACCCCTGTCCTGTTACCCCCCTCCCCCCCCTTCTTGATGCCTGCCCGCCAGGCAGAGAGACACGCACGCACACACACACACACACTAATCTTTCTTCTGCGACGGGTATAGGCTCCTTTCTCACGGGCCTGACGTACATCCCGATCAACCTGATCGCGGCGCAGGCGGACGGCCACGTGGCGCACGGCACGGGCCTCGCCTTCATCGCCATGATCCTGCTCTACGGCATCTTCTGGTCCTTCTGCTAGACGCCGCCGCAGGCGCTGTACCCGACCGAAGTGCTGCGCAACGACATCCGTGCCAAGGGCATGGCCGTGCAGTCGTTCGTCGCCGGCGTGGCGGGCTTCGTCAACACGTACGCCACGCCCGTCGCGCTGCAGAACATCGGCTGGAAGACGTATACCGTCTTCTTGGTCCTGCACGCGTTGGAGTGGGTGGCCTTGTATTTCTCGCTGGTCGAGACAAAGGGCCGGAGCTTGGAGGAGATCGATGAGCTTTTCAAGAGCGAGCATCCGATTAAAGAGTCGTTGAAGAAGACAGAGGTCGTGCTGCAAAAGGAGAGGGGTGTTACCGTTGAGGTTGGGGAGGCGTGACGACAAGCCGGGAGGTTTACGATCGGTGAGTGGGCGAGGTTTTTCAATGCTTGCGGAGGAGGTGGAGATCGGAAGACAAGTAGCATTTGTTGCGATGCCCGGTTAATGACATGTGTGCCATTCTCTGCGATGGGGGATGTCGCAATGCGTTGTGAAGAGTAACCCATTTCCTATGATGTCGCTGTACCTCGTTCCTATGCCGGGCTTGTTCTTGTTCTCCACCACGATGTAAATTGACAACCACTCAACAAAGCCATGTCGATTACCTCGTCAAGTCCCTAGGTTAGGTATGACACCACCCCTCGCCTCGTCCCGTCCAGGCGGCCAGGCTCCTTCAGTCATGTAGCCTTGAACCTCACCAGTAATACTCCATACACAGCGCCCCCACGAACTTGCCGGGACTGGGACACGTCTCCGGCGTCCTCGGCATCACCCTGTTCCCTTCCTCACAAGGCACCTGCTGATCGTTTTCAGGACAACAAAATACGCCCGCCAGGTCTCCTAGTATTTTCGCCTGCTCGGCTATATACCCGGTGGGACAGCACGTCGCGCCGAGTGTAGAGATGGGTGATATCACGGTCCATGTGTAGTTTGGAGGGCACGTTCCAGGTTGATGCGCCGTCGGGGTGAGTTTGAAAGGGAGAGGTTTGGCGAGGCCATTCGCAGGATAATGAGCCATGAGGAGAATGAGAAACAAGTGGTGTGCGGAAGCCATGTTGCATACCTCGATCGGGTGGTTTGGTGATACGGGGACGGTTTCTTCACTGGTGGGGCGTCGAGGAGAGAGGGCGATGTGTGAAGGATGAGGAAGATCGGCGGGAAGAGGTTATGAGACTTCTATCGGGTCGGCGAACTCTGTGTCCTCGATTTGGTCAGGGCCAGGTCATGCAGCCAGGTATTGGTGCAACGCTGTGGTATGTCTCGGAAGGGTGTTAGACATAGGTGAGTTGTTGGTCCTGCGAGTGGCAACACCTGCCCAGCGTCCGAGAGAAGAAGATCTGGTGAGCAGTTGCCGATACACACTGATAGGCAGGAAGAAGTTGAGGTGAAGAGACGCGTGGAGGGGCACAAGAAATGAGTCGAAGGAAAGTGAACAGATAATGAAGGCCAGGACATGAGAAGGTGAACGGACAATGAACACCGCGGCAAGCGCACATGACACTGCACTCGGAGAGTAAGCTCAAGAGTATGACAACCGTCAAAGGTATGCAATGTACTTGCTGAAGCCGACCTCAATTGCGGGTGAAAGAAGGATGATGAGTCGAGCAGAGCTCATCAAGGTGGCTGACTGATTGGATTGACCATCGCCAACGCTGTTACGCCTTCCTATGCATTCATTGTTTGCTCACTTTAGCTCTTGTGAAACTCGCGTGAAGCCCACCAGACACATATGCTCAATTCGGCAACCGCAACCAAGGCACCTCGTCCGGCGTATACTTGTACGCTCTGAATACGGCATTCGCAGGGAAATCAAACCCAATGTCGAGCAGCTCCGGTGCGTTCAAATGCTTGTAATCGGCGAAATGAGGATTTACATATTCGAAACAGATCTGTCCTTCTGGGGTGACTTCGAACATGCGCCCAAAGACCGCCTCTGTAATCAAGGTGTTGCCATTCTCGAGTCGTTGAGCGCCGCCCATGAATGGTGAGAAGAACGCGTTGGGCATGGAGCGATCGCGGTACTCCCAGAGTAGCTTCTTGGTGGCGCGGTCGACTTGGATGACGCGGGAGTAGGTCGAGCTCTCCCGGTATCGGAACGTGCCGTTGTCGAAGATCAGGATACTGCCATCATCGAGTTCGCTTGCGCAGTGCTGTTGGGCTAAGACCGTGCTGTCGAGGTGCCACATGATCTCACCGGTTTCGCGGCTGATGACGACGACTGCTGAGACGCTTCGGAGGGACGCGAGGATGTTGCCGTCCTTGAGCAGTTGGACACTGTTAATCAGAGGCCAGTGTTCCCGGGCGAAGTGAGGATGAAGGGGAAATTTTTCGGGGGCGAGGTGGTCGACGGCGCGCCAATGGAAGAGTACTTTCCCGTTATCCGCGGGGTCTACCAACTTGATGCAGTCGGCGAAGACACTGCCGTCTGGGGCCTCTGAGCCCGGAATGCCGCCAGGTATGGTCAAAGCTTGCTCAGGCGTGAGAGCTTCAACGGTTGTGTACAGCAGATGACCGTTATCGAGGTGGTGCTGGTCATGGTGTGCCAGAGGGTCTCGGTACTCAGAGATGACTTTGCCGTGAGGGTCAACTTGCATCATGACACCACCACGATACTTCTGCCACATGGGGAACAGCCTTGGCGCATCAGGGTGAACCCCATTGTATGCAAGGTTGCCATTAGGGAGGATGCGAGCGTGACGGCCAGGCCGATAGGGAAGGTTCCAGCGATGGACTTCCATACCATCATTGGCAATCAGTCGAACTGTGCCAGGGCTGGTAAGGTGGGTATAGAGTAGGTAGCCGGGCGCCACCTGACTGTGATCAACACCTCGAAGACCGACGCCTCGGCGGGTAAGAGTGTTTTGCTCCATGTTCGGACGGGTTTTGATGGCTGGAGACTGGTTTGATCTGTGTTCATGGTTCTGCAGGTATCTGAAAGGCTCGGATTCCTATTGTTATATACCATGAAATGCCGCGGGAGACGCCAGAGAGCTTGTCGCCAGAAACGGACGTTACCGGGGTGGACCTGCGGCAGGCTTGAACTTCGTAATGCAGGGCTGCGATTGTGCCATGGTGGAGAGCCAATTGCATCGAGGGATCGCCTACGGCAAGACCGCGGCAAGCGGCCTTGAGACCCTCTGCCTGCGGCATGCCGAGGAGGATAACGGCATTCCCTATCTGGCCCTGCGGCATGCCGTACCAGATGATAATGATAGTCTTCCCAACACCAAGACATCGTGATTGCGTGCTCGTGTGGCAGCGATGAAGTGCTGCCAGAACGCAAGCATAAAAGAAAGCTGATACCCGTGTGGATATTCATCATGACCAGCAACAATCCTTACAGTGTCGGTCTTGTAGGGGCTCAGCGTCAAATCCGATCGTCATGGACAAGTACACTAGTGATAAGGCTGCGGTGGGCAAAACCCAGTCGTGTGATAATGTTGTCGAGGATGCCATTGAAGAGAAAGCACTGCGCCCAAAGCCTTTCTCGGGATCGTGGCTCAGATCCATCCTTTTGACCGTGGAAACAAGTGGCATCCAGCGAGTGACGGAGGAGGAAAGGAAGCGCAATACGAGCAAGGTTTGGAATGCTTGCACCTTCTGGTACGGTAGTCCTCCCTTCAACCTGTGTCCACTCGCTGATGTGCCCAGGCTGAGTGCGAACATGGCGGTCGCCACTCTCAATGTTGGCTCCGTTGGTGGTGCCATGGGCTTGTCGTTCTGGGATTGCTTCGTCATCATCCTCGTCGTCAATCTCGTGAGTTGCATGATCCCAGCCTGGACCGCAGGCTTTGGGCTCACTGGGCTGCGCATGACTTCCTTCTCGTAAGTGGCCCACGGTCGCCCGCAAACCACAGCACTGACAGAGGCAGACGATATTCCTTCGGATATTGGGGCAATCTCCTCGTCGTGATCTTCTCAATGGTCTCCACAACAGGCTGGAATGCAGTCAATTCAATCTCGGGCGCATCTGTCCTCAATGCGCTGTCTGACGGTAAATGCCCGACCTGGTTGGGAGTCGTGATTATCTGCACGACGGTCTGGGTCATCTGTGCTCTTGGCATTCATTGGATTCACCAGCTCGATGCTTTCCTCTGGATCCCACCGTTTGTGGTTTGGTGTGTCACTGCAGGCTGCGGTGCCTCGCATTTCTCGGGAAACGCAATCAAGACGCCCTCTGGTGCCAACGGTGCAGCATCTGCACTCTCATTCATCGCCGTCATATTCTCTTTCGCCGTCTCCTGGATCAATTGTGCTGCCGACTATAATGTCAGAATGCCAGTCAACACCTCCCGAGCACAGATCTTCATTGCGACCTATGTGGGAATCGCAGTTCCGACCATTCTTGTGCAGACCCTTGGTGCAGCGCTGTACACTGGCACAGCAGTCAATCCCGAGTGGAAGCTTGCTTTCAAGGAGAGTGGAATTGGTGGTCCCGTCAAGCTGGCCCTTGAGCCTGCTGGGGGCTTCGGAAAGTTTCTCCTGGTTCTTGCTGGTCTGAGTGCCATTCCGGTAAGTTGCCAGGTTCACCTCAAGGTCCTGTAGCTGACGAAAGAAAGAATAACATTCCCAACAACTATTCTTTTGCTATGCATGCACAGAACTTTGGTCCATGGGCCGCGCGCATTCCTCGGATCCTCCTTGTGACGTTCGGGTTTGTTGTGGCCATCATCGTTGGCGCCTGTGCCGCAGAGTTTTTCGACGACACACTCGAGACGTTCTTGAGTATCATCGGATACTGGACTATCATCCATCTCGTCGTTGTCGCAGAGGAGCACATCATCTTCAGAGCTCGCCGCTGGAGCAACTATAATCTGGAAAATTGGGACAAGCCAGCTCTGCTCCCTTTTGGCTGGGCGGCCATCGGAGCATTCAGTTTCGGTTTCGTGGGTGCCGCGCTTGGTATGAAGACAGCCTGGTATACGGCTCCCATCGCTGGACTGGTCGGAACGAAGGGCGCAAATATCGGGCATGAGCTGACTTTTGCATTTTCCGCACTCGCTTTCCCAGTCTTTCGGTATGTGGAGAAGAAGTACAACGGCGGCAAATAGTGGCGGAGGCGAATCTCTCCTTGCTCATAAGATCTTACATAACAGCATCTGAACGTTAAAAGCTGTTGTCATTGAACCGCTCCCAATCTGGTATAAAATCCCAGTTTCCAGTGCTCATCGGATCTGGTCCGAGTATATCAGGGAAGTTAGCCCAGAATGAGGAATCCGCCCATGTGTTGTTCTCTTCCGAGGTGACTGGGGACGGCCTGGCGGTTGGGCGGAGCTTTTTGTGGAAAGCGTCGACGATGTCGCCGAGCGTGAATGCAGCATGGCACGGCAGACCTATCGACTTGAGCCAAGACACGAGTTTCAATATCAGTGCATCCAACTCTGCGATGTCATGGGAATGAGCCAACTGCTCGTCGTACATGTGCAATAGTCTGCAGAGTGTGACAGCAGCAAATGTGATCATGTGGTAGATGTGGTCTGATAGATGCTTTGTGCGGTCGTCGGTGGTTGTCATTGCCAGGGAGATGATTGCAGCTGACAGCCGAACCATCTCGCTCAATATGCTTTCACGGACTCTGGCAGACCGAGTCTTGAGGGACTGTTCATATGCCAGAAGCTGTGCAAAGCTAAATCCCATCTCGAGGAATTGTGACCGCGGCTGATCTAGAGACAACCATTAGAACCGCCGAGCACCCTGATTACGGGCCGCGTACAGACCTAATACGAGCTTCCAAGTCTGCCTCCACTGTTGCAGGGCTGACTGGGCTTTGGGAAGATCAACATTGCCCAAACAGCAGTGCTCATAGAGAATCCAATAGAGTTGGACTTCTGCAACCATCCGCAACTCAAAATTTGTTGCGCTGTCTGAGGCCAGGATATCTCGGCACCTGTCAATTTGACCGCGACCGATTACTGACTTTCGCCTGGTGCCCACCGAGTAGCTACCAGTGTCAGTACTATGAGTTCCAGGTTGGACAAAGTCGTAGAATCTTACTGTAAGTGGACCAAGCATAGATGATTCCAAAGCTTCAATGCAGCCATGTTCCGGTTAGTACCCCGAGACGCACCATTGAGGACTTCCGAGAAGATATCGCTAGAAAGGCAGTGTTGAATAGCAAACCCGCTTAGGAGCCAGCTATCGATACTCAAAGGCACTTGTCCAACTGTAGTCGACCACATGCTGAGAATGACGGCTGCCTGGAAGAAGTCAAAAGTCTGCGGTGTGAAGAGCAATGCGCTAGATAGGAGAGTCTTTGACTTCTCAAATAGTTCTGGTGCGAGCCGGAGCGCGAGATCTGAGTTTGTATGTCGGACAGCGATGAGGCAACAAGCGCTCAGGAGGAGCTGTGACTTCCTGGTTTCCTTCAAAAGATCTTCCGGTGAGCTTAAAGAGTCAACAAATACCCAGCGGCCATAATGCTCGACGAATCTGTGAAGCCATGTTAGGGGACTTCTGTTCGACTGCACAAGAGAATCCGTACATCGCCAGTAGTGCTGAGGCTTGCTGGTTCGACAAGATACCTTCCCCGATAAGATCTGAATCTTGACCTTCCGCTGCTGTGCGCGCACTGCGAACCACACCGGGAGACTCAACACCTATTTCCGTAGCGAGGTCTCTGATGACAAAGACAGGGGCAGATGCTGTATCTCGAGGTTCGTCGGGCTCGTCGGGCTGGTGGGCTTCCAACGGACCTGAAGGGGCGGGGCCCGAGGGAGTGTCATCGCCCAATGCGATCCCAAATCGACTCACTATAGTTCCCACAGCTTTCTCGAGTCGAGCAAGTCTGTAGTCTGTCAGTTGGACGGAGGTCCCAAGGTGCTCATCCACAGACCTGGCGTCCGTCGAGTTGCTCGGTTGCGCAGTACCTGGAAAGCTTGGGGTAAACCCATTTACATGTCTCGATTGTCGTTCAGAGGCGAGGGAGCATTGGGTGCCAAGTTTTTCACAGCGCAGACACGGTGCGCCTGGAGTCCTTGCTTCATAGCAACGTGTCTTGAGTCGTCGACATGACACGCAAGCGCGTGCAGCTCTTGACTTGTCCGTGGACATGAGGATCTTCTAGGGAAGAGAACATCCCATACCTTTCTCAGCGATACATGGTGCAAGAAGGACGGAAATTATAACCGACGTCTCGAGATGTTCAACTTTGTCAATGTCATTCCGGAAGCTGGAAAACGAACATTCGAAGGCAAGCATGCAGAAACGCAGTCACGCTAAGGGATCCGTAGTGCGAGAAGTGTGCTCCGACTGGCGGAATAGACGGCGGGTCACCTTGGCGGGCTGTTACTGACAACCCCACCAGATTTTTGCAGGCCGAGTCTAACAGTGATTTCCTATCCTCTGTGCATTTTCCATGTCAACGCCAACCAACACAACCAACTAGGCAACCACTTAAACGCAAAGATGGCTCAGGGACAACTCAAAAAGCCCTCGAAGCCCTCGAGGCCCTCATCGTCGTCTTCCTCCAGCAATAGCAACAGCAAAGCCACGTCCGGCAAAATCACCAAGAAGGGGTCCCGGACCATCACGCCCAAGAAAGCCAGCCTAGTCAGGCAGGCGAAGCTGAACAAGAAGTTCACGGCCGGGTTGACCGCAAAGACGGAGGCCATGCTGGGTGCTAGAGCGGGGCACCTGGAGATGCTGGGGCAGGGGAAGGGTGGGAAGAAGGGGCAGAAGGGGCAGAACAACGGGTCCAGCAAGAGGGGGAAAAGTCTGGAGGGTAGGGCAGGGTAGCGTCGCGTCGCGTCACAGTCGCTGCGTCCTAGGTACTCTTGGTTGCTGCGATCCCGACGGGCAGGCGGTCATTCGAGAGGGTGAATGGCTTGAGAAGAGAACCGACATAGTGTTGATGGAGACGGCCAATCGATGGTACTACAATTTTGGGAAGAACCTCTTCGATGTTGAAACGACAAATTGATGCATCAGCAGCTATCAAACACAGCGCCGCTTCGATGCGCCTCTGGATACTGAGCGCCGGTCTTGGATATCGAATGAGCCTAACACAAAAACCGAGACAAGGATCATCACATTCCTCCCAACGCCCGAGCAGCCTCACCACCGCCGCTCTGCACCATCGCCTGCTGCCCAAGGTCGGCTCGGAGCTTGCCCTTAGCAGCTCCACCTTCGCCAACACCCATTCTCCGAGCAACATATCGTTGCGACACGATGCCAATCACCAGACTAAGCGTCTCCTCAACCCATTCGCTCACCCACTCTCTGGGATCAATCCCACCACTTGAGATGATCTCTTCGATGCTCTCCGGCAAAGTGCCCTCTCCACCGCTCGGGGCATCAAGCCACTCGATCCACTGGCCAGGGATGGCTTGAGAGATTGCCTGGAACGCAATCCCGTGGATGGGGTCATGCAAGAAGACTGCAAAAACAACCTCTTCATTGTCCTTGTCATCTTGCGCCTCCTTCACCTGTCCCTCCGTCTCCGACGTCGGTGCTGCCGCAAACATGTCCTTCGGCACTGATTGTGAGATGGCTTGGATGGCCAGGAATATCTCGCTGTCTCTGGTAGGGTTCGAGGCGGAAAGTGTTTCTGTGGCCCGCTTGGCAGCCTCTTCGACTCCACCTTTGCCGGAGAAGTATTCTTCGGCATACCCTTCGGCGGCTGCCCTCGCGAGTTTACTGCCCTCAACGACGCCTCGGACGGCATTGATACTTCTGCGCTCGCCGCTCCTCCACCATGGGCCATCATGCCATGATCCAAGAGGCCGTGAGGTCTCCGATGAACCTCGTTTCGGCCCGGCTTCGTGTCCTCTTTGGACGACCATCAAGTCGCCGCCTTCGACCTGCGCCATGACTCGGCTGAAGACTTGGTAGATTAAGGGATCCAAGGTCGGGTAATTCGACAGGTCGTGGGTGATGTGGATCTGGAGTCGTTCATGGGAGGATATAGGAGGGGCGATCGTCTGTAAGATGTTCTGGAACGTCGGGATGGCCATGTTCTTGATCTCGCCGCCTATACAAACAATATTAGCTCCCTGCCAACTAAGCCAAAGACGATTTGGATTAACCCTACCAAAGCCCCGTAACACACCGACATTGCCTTTCAGCTGCTCGGCCCACTTCTGTGCCTCTTCGTTCTTCTGTATCTCCTTCACCGCCGCCTGCGCCTGGCTCACCGCAGCAGTCGCAGTCGATAGCAAACCTCCCCACCATCCACCTCCACTACTCTTAGCAGCCGCAGGGGCAGGGGCAGGAACAGGAACGGGGACAGGGCCAGGTTCTGGCTGCGACTCATGGTCCGCGGACCCTTCTTCAGTCGTCGACGACGTCGCGGGCGTGAAAGCCTGGTGGAACGAACGCGTACTATCCCCCGACTTGCGCTGGCCGCCGCCGGTGCATGATTTCTCCTCGCTCGTCCGGCCCGGCGGTGGCGTCGCGGTCGAGGTGCGGCCGGGCGATCGACTCCCCGCGGTCGACGGAGCGTTTGGTCGGAGCGACGGCGTGGCGGGTCGACTCGCCGGTCGGTGGGCGAGGTTTCCCAGCTCGGCAAGGAGATCCTGTTCGTTCTGAGATGTCTGGGCGGCCGCCGCAGGAGGCGGTGCCCCCTGTCCTTGTCGGGGAGTTCGGACAGAGGGTTTCGATGGACGTGTCGACGCCGACACCGACGCCGACGCCTGGGTGCTGAGGTCGTCGAGCTGAGCCAGCAGCTCGTCGTCGGTCGGGGCTGACTTCTTGGTGGCCATCGTCATTGCATTACCACGTTAGAAGAGGGTAGCCAAGTGGTCAGCAGAGCTGGATGGGTAACTAAACTATGTCCCGCAGCGATGGACGTTGCAGGTCATCCGCGTCCAAGCAAATGTCCGGTTTCGAGGGGGGCACAGGCGGTGGACAATGCCGCCCTAAGCAAGGAATGAGTGCGCAGTCAGTTTTCGGCGGAACACTCGCAACAGTCACGCAGATTCTTGTCATGCCAAACAAAACTAACTGACTGACTGAAGCTTCAGATAAGTCTCCTTCAGACATGAGGATAATTACGAGTCCTACGTATGCAACAGCTTTCTACGCAGCACAACCCTCCCACGGGTGGCGAAGTAGATGGACGTATATCATCCTATCCTGGCTAGGTCGTCTTACTCTGGGAGCGTGTCGAAGTAGGTACCCCCAGATCAACATGTGAGAATGAACTTGTATATTTGTGAGAGGAGACAACTGCTGTTTCACTACAGCCAAAACTCATGAGGCGTACACCGAGGATCCATACCCATTCACTAGACATATTCTACAACGTCTAGACTCCAGCACCTCGTGAATGCGTACAAGCTGCTCCGAACGGACAATGACCTTTGCTACCTGCCTAAAGAATGCATCCTTGTCGATATCATTCAATCTTGGGCAGACGTAGAGAATGAAGCTCTACGGTATTCAACTTCCTCCAGGTTGCTCATCCATCTCGCCTACCAGACCAGCTAATTGTGCCTGGGCGGCTTCCATCTCTCTTAGCCTCGCGATTCTCTTCCTCTGCAGCTTCTCGAACCACGCCTGCTCGTGTGCTCTGGCGCATCTCAACAATGCCGCAATCATCGACTGGATGTCCAATTCCGGAGCTAGCGCCAACGCGATGAACTCGTCATCGGCAACCACGTCCTTGAGCACAAGCTCGTGTTCCTCAAGAGCATCTTCTGTCGTGATTTCGCCCATGAATGGCGATTCAAACATGACACCTGAGTAGATATACGCGAGGTCGATGCTGAGCTGAGTACTGGGCATTTCGCGTTTGGCCAGGCGGACCATTGGCAGCGCAACGTAGATCCCGTCTATGAGCTTCTCGTAGCTATCTGGTGGCCGCATGTGCGCGTGGATGACCACATGCTCCAACTCGGGGAATAGGTTGCCAATGATGCCGATGCTGGCGATCCAGTCCACACGGTTGTCGCCCAGGATGTGGACGCGCCATTCCAGGCGTCGGACGCTGTCCTTCATCCGGGCGAGATGCGGGACGATGGACCGCATAGGGTCTCCTAGTGGTGAGCCTAGATGTAATGTGAACGATGACAACAGGATGTGCTGCGCTTCATTGTAGATCTGCTTGCATGTACGGAGAGGTCGAAAGACTTCCTGCCACGAGGGGAGATCGGACGTCGAGGCCCCCGTGGTTACATTACTGCAGGCGATATTAATGCATGCTCGGCAGCCATCTTGTGCGAGCTGCGGCCCCGAGCGCGATGGAATGACATGGAGGTCGGAGAAGACAAGGTGCCATATTAGGTTGCGGATTTCGCTCGGAAGCTTTAGCAGGGGTGAGTCAGACTGCGACGGTATCGTCATTTTAGGGGTTCGTGAGGATGTCTAGGGTTAGTCGGCTCAGGACTGTATTTGAGTGCAATATTGCAAATATTTGAGGACTAGGGAAGAGGAGCCAATAGAAGGCGGTGGGTGCTGAAAAAGAACAACATCTTTCAGAGGTGAGAGTGCCAGGAGGATGGATGGATTTGAAAGTCGAAGGTCAGCCTGCTCGGCAAGGAAAATCTCTCATCCCGGGAGACTTGGCACAGTGGATGGCACCTTCACTGCGCTGCTGTTTGCGCAGTATGACGGCGCTTCCCAAGGACGGGGCCTCGCACTACTCGAAGGTGATGCATACATTCGACAAGAACAGTCGTTTACCGCAGGCACGGTCTGTTTGGCTCGACACTATTTCCGGCAACTCAAGATCCTGTCGCATAATATATCTACTGTCGGAGTCGACCACGTCGTGTTTCAGACTGTCCCCCAAGCAAACTAACATTTCGGCTTCAGCAATGAGTAGGAACTACGGTATGTAGAGGCAGCGAGTAGCTATGTCTGGAACCTATCTAGCGTGCTCTACGGCTTCAGTCGATCAGTTAATAGACTGAGAACTACCAACGGTCTCAGGAAGACATTGCCAGCGTCCCTCCTCAGACTCCATCAGTAATCGCAGCGGCGCTGCTCCCATAGTGCTCTCCGCAGTGCTCGTGATTTCCAGAATAGTGTCCCTTTCCGTCGTGCTGTTTTGGCTTTCCGTATTCAAAGCCCCAAGTCTGTTCAACGTGGAGCCTTCGGCTGAGTGGTCCCTGTCTTTCTTGACATACTTGCCCACCCTGCTCCGCGCACGTCATAGGTCCCTCTCGATTAGAGCGCAGTACTCCAGCATTCGGGTCATAGCCACGTATACCATAATAGTCCTCGACTCTTTTCTCTTCAGCATGCCTCAGCGCCTTGTCCTTTTTGTTTTGCTTGACCCGCTCTCTGCTTGCCCTCCTTCTCTCGTCTCGATCCCTTTCTTCTCGGTTTCTGCGTGCCTTGCGCTCCCACGATGCCGCGTCTTTCCGAGCCTTTACGTCTGCCTTCTCTGCGCGCTTGCGATTGTCAAGACCCTTCACTGCAAGCTCCTTGATACCTTGGGCTCGGCCGAAAGAGATGCGGTGGAAAAGATTGCTCTTTCTCGGCTGACAAACAAGGGATGCAACAGGATCAGAGGAAGCGGACTGAAGATGATCCTGACGCAGCTCTGATGGCGCGGCAGCTTGCGTGGAGTCGCCCCGCGGTCCATCTTTCTCGCTCTGAGCTTCTTGACGGGTCATGGCTGTTATACTGGGTTGTCGGCCGTAGCAGGGAGTAGGCGCTGACGTGAGGGAGGTATTGACAGAACTGAGTCGAATCTGAAGTAACGTGGTTCCCGGTTTCGATGAACGGTCAAGACGCAGTGGATGAAAAGTGCGAGGACTGAAACGATAATGATAGGCCCGATGAGATATCCCAGGAGCCGAATGAGGGTGCTAAAGGCCATAAATGCTGTAATGATACGGCAAACAATGAGAGGGGATGATAGGTCATGACAGCAGAGGCACTTCTTCGTTTTGAGTCTGTGTCAATCGCAAACAGGGCCTGCCTTTGCAAACGAGGCAGCGGCGACGAGAAAGTTCCACTCGTTCTGACAGCGATTCCGCGCTCTTGATTTCAGAGATCGCACCTGCCATTTCTTGTTCGCAGCTTGTTGCTTGGTGTTTCTCTTTCTTGGATCACTTTGGCTTGCTTGTTATGTAAAGGACAAGTCCAAGCCCAAGCATCTGACAGTCCAGGCCATTGGGGCGCGGTTGTCTACGTTTCCTGATAATGGCTGGCGATGTCCTGGCCATGATCTGCAGCAATTGCTCGAGATACTCTCCCTATCAGTTGTTATGCCGAGACTTGGCGCCGAAGGGGTTAATTCAGCGTGAAGCCGACATGGCGCCACATTCATCATGACATTGGTTCCTCTTTCTTGAGGCGTGAATTCTCACCTCGTTTGTTGCAGCCGGAACCTGGTTCGGGCTCAGGCTTCCCTAAATGCGTCTAACGTCGGTTCTCATTCATACCTGGAGGCCCACCCATAAATCCGGGTGGTGGCGGCGCCTGTCCCTGACTCGGTCCACTGCCTGGCCCCGGGCTTGGCCCACCCAGTGGGATTTGTGGACTCTGACCTGGTGCTGGGAAGCCGCCCGGTGCGCCTGGAGGTGGGAACTGAAAATTCGGGGGGAAGCCGCCAGGAGGAGGAAAAGGCAGGCCATTCGGGAGTGCGGGAGCGCCGTTAGGAGGGAAAGGTGGGAAAGGCACGCCGCGTCCGCCAGGAGGAGGAGGAATTATGCCTCCTGGGCCTGGTGGCGGCGGTGCGCCTGGCATGCCGAACGGTGGAGGCGGCATTCCTAGACGCAAGTCAGTCACCAACATCCAACATTGCCCTATCCTGGAAACGGCATACCTGGAAAGCCCGGCATAGGCGGAGGAAAGCCTGGGCCAGCTTGCTGGAGCATAGGGTTCGCCTGACCTTCAGCGGCGTACGACGAAGTGATCGAGTCGATAACAGACTGCGCCTTTTCGTGACCAATCTCTGTATGGCGTCAGCCGTCACAAGTCCTCAATCTAACCCATGTCACGTACGTTGGTAGTACTCAACCACATTCCTCAGATGATTTCGGCCAGCGTTATGGGCTTTGCGCACCGACATGGAGTCGTGCGTGAGGTACACATCGCAGTAGTCGCAGAAGAGTGCTGGAAAAGTCAGTCAAGCTTCGGTGGGGCGGAGAGGGATACTTATATTTCGGCATTTTGGGGATAATGAGTTCGAAGACCGTCTCCAGAAAGTGCTTATGAAGTGTAGATTGTAGGTCCGACGTGTTCCACGGTAAGGGTTGAAACGGGTTTGTTTGCAGAGGAGCCAGAGGACTTCATCGAGGCAGGCGGTGAAAAGCGGCAGAATTTTCCCCAGACTCGCGTCTTGCGCTTTCGAAACGCGTCTGGGCTCAGCTTTCAACGGGAATCTGCTTTCCGCACAATGCTTATCTTGCCAACATGCGGTGACAACGGTCTCACAATCTTCGAGTTAAGCTGAGCTGTTCAACCCTAACTTTCTGCCTGTCGGTATGGCGGACGGGGGCAGCCTACACAATGTCCCCCTGGTGCTCGATAACGGCAGCGGCACCATTCGAGCAGGCTTCGCAGGCACGGATCTGCCCGCCGCCTACTTTCCCTCATATGTCGGTCGACCCAAACATGTGCGCGCTCTTGCGGGTGCATTGGAAGGCGACGTCTTTATCGGGCCTAAAGCGCAGGAACTACGAGGCCTCCTCAAAATAAGATATCCACTTGAACATGGCATCGTCACGGATTGGGATGATATGGAGAAGATATGGACATATGTCTATGAGCAGGAACTGAAGACGTTGAGCGAGGAACATCCTGTCCTTCTTACGGAGCCACCCTTGAACCCGAGACAGAATCGCGATACGGCGGCCCAGATCCTTTTCGAGCAGTTCAACGTCCCTGCGATCTACATGTCAATCCAAGCCGTCCTGAGTTTGTATGCCAGTGGCCGAACGACCGGCATTGTGCTCGACAGTGGAGACGGTGTCACCCATGCGGTCCCTGTTTACGAGGGGTTTGCAATTCCGAGCAGCATACGCAGAATCGACGTGGCCGGCAGGGACATCACGGAACACATGCAGCTTCTTCTAAGAAAGAACGGACATGTATTCCATACCAGCGCAGAGAAAGAGATCGTCCGCATTATGAAGGAGAAAACAGCGTACATCGCCCTCGACCCCAGGAAAGAAGAGAAGGACTGGTCTCAGGGAATATGGAAGAACGAGAAGAGAGACGTTGAATACGTCTTGCCGGACGGTCAGAAGATCAAGATCGGAGCAGAGCGATTCCGAGCACCAGAGATCGTGTTTGAGCCCGCGCTGATCGGGCTGGAGTACGAGGGCGTCCATCAAATGGTTGTTGACGCCATTAATCGAACAGATATGGACCTGCGCAAGAATCTTTTCGGAAACGTTGTCCTCAGCGGCGGAACAACTCTGTGTAAAGGGTTCCCGGACCGACTTCTGTATGAGATGCAAAGATTGGCCGTCAAGGACATGCGCATCAAGATCTATGCACCTCCCGAGCGAAAGTACAGTACCTGGATCGGTGGTAGCATTCTCGCGGGGCTAAGCACATTCCGAAAGGTAAGCCGGACAGGCCCAAGCTCCTCCTCCGAAACCCGCTAACCGCGAGTCAGATGTGGGTTAGCATAGACGACTGGCATGAGAATCCGGACATCATCCATACCAAGTTCACGTGATAAAACTTGTCAAGCACCACAGCTTTCGCCATGCCGGCCGTGCAGGATCACCGTGAGGCCGAGCAACCCAGCTGCACCTGATCCAGACCAGACAGCGACGGACATCTGGCGGTGAAAGCCAAACATTTCAGGGACCGTCATGGAAACCAATGATGGCGACATTCACCACCCCGGAAAAGTCAATATTGGATCTGCTGATCGATGACACTAGGAATGCCGCCCTTGGACACTGCGGGGAAGAGCCGACGATCCGGGGCAGAGAGCAGCCCGCGCGTCAACGAGTCTGGAACCACTATCCGCATTGAAGAAGGACGCGAGGGCACGTTTGCAAGCCTGGGTCAGGTACCAACATGGAAGGTGTGTAGGAAACTGCGGCGAGAGCGTCTCGTTCCTGCTCACGGGCCGCTCTGGGCAGCCAACACGTGTCGTGCTGGCAGGGTGAGAGGTGAGACTGCCGGGGCCTGCAGCAGCAGCAACGAACAGCTTTTACCGTGGTCCTCGTACAAAGGCACAAGCGAAAAAATGGGAATTGAAGCCTGAAACCCAACGTGAAGAAAGGACTGGAGAAGGAAGCATTCTATTACCCCCAGGAAACCACCGTCCCCGCTCGAGGAAGCGGCCCATTACCCCATAGTTTGCCCTCCGGCGGCTCGGAAGCTCGCGTGTGGCGGAGCATTTAGACCTATTCGTGGCACCCAGGCTGGGCATGACTAACGGAATGTCCAACTGACGTCGGCGGTCGCCCAATCAGCGTGATTTCCTCCCAGATCCGCCAACTTTGGCCTGCAGAATTTTCCATGAGTGACTTTGCCATCACTTGACTCTCCGCCCACCGCGCAGGTTCCCTCGGTTTTCGCTCACCGTCACTGTCCTCGGCGGACACCTAGCGGACTCCTGGCGTGACACCCATCCGGGGGGCTGTCCTCTCCAGGCGGGCTCATGACGCCAGTGCTTGCTAATTTCCCTCCCTGGAATGTCGCCATTGTTGTCCCATCGTGACCTGAAAATTTGCTTTACATGGCGCTTTCCAGTTAACGGCAACCCCTTTGCGGGCGCTTTCCAGTTAACTGCAAGGTTCCAGAAGATGCTGGGTTTTCATCGTGTAATCGAGCTGCGAGGAGATGAATCTTGATGCCTTGGCTTTCGCTCCCCGTGGCCCTCTTCGCCCCTTGCGCGTCGTCCTGGCAGCTGCGTGAAAAGCTTTGTTGGTCTTTTTGACGGAGAAATTTGCAATGCCTTGTTCGTATATAAGCATCTGACTCCCAGGATTGCCGTTATGGGCTTTTTTCTGGTCCCATCAGAAGCTGTTATTGAAACTGACAAACACCTCGTCGGCGTGAACACAACACCTGACCACTACTTTCCGCGCCAATCCATTTTTGGCCACACGAAAACTCCAGTCAACCAATCACAAATACTACTCATCCTACAGCCACCGCACTCATCGACACCATCGCGTCTCTTCAATTCCACCCTCGAAGAGCATCTGAGTGCCTGAGTTAACAAAACTATCTATCAAAACCCGTCAACCACAAACCAACCAACCAACCAACCAACCAACCAACCAACCATCATGTCGACACGCTCCTACTCCATCGTCGAACCCCATCCCAACCCTTCACCCTCAGCACACTACATCTCCACCGGTCGCGGCGGCGCCGGCAACGCCATCCGCACACGCGGTGCCGACGCAACAGCCCCCGCTGCCGCCGCCGCCATCCGCGCCTCCCTAGCCACATCCAAGACGTCGCCGTCGTCCGTGTCCACCCACTCATCAACCCACCGACAATGGTCAACCGGCGGGCGTGGCGGCGCGGGGAACGTCTTCCCGGCCTCGGAGCGCGCCATCTTCTCCTTTGACGAAGAGCTCGAGCGCCAACTACGGCGCGAGAGGGACGTCGCGCCCGTGTATCACGTCGGGAGAGGCGGCGCGGGAAATCTCATGTACGGCGCCTCCGGGTCGGAGAGGAAGGTGGAGAGGCGAATGAGCGACGACAGCGGCGCCAGCTTGGCCAGCACGAGTAGCCGGGGGAGCGAGTCTGGTGCGGACACATTCAACCGGAGCGTCAAGAAGGGGTGGAAGAAGATCACGGGCGCACATTAGTCGCTTGATCGATCGCTGTTCATGTATTATCTCTGATCTCGGGGATCTTGGGGGTCTTGGATCTTCGATCTTGGAATATTTTTTTCATTCCTCAATGCCCTTACTTTGGCGTGGCGTTTGGGATTTATCTCGGATCTTCCAAACAAAAAGTTAAGCGCATGGTCCGCATGAGCGATATTGTGGCGTTTGGTTCTTGTCAATGGTGCATCGCATCACAAGGGTCAGGCATTTGATCATCGGTATGAAATCGGCACCGGGTCAATAGGGAGCTGGTCAGTGTATTATGGAGACAACTGATCACCATGAACAAGCACGTCTACGCACATGCATTTCGGGTAACGAAGCAGAGTACAACCTCAGTCGAGCGATGTAAGGAGATGCTCGACCAGTATTAGTATCAACTCTAATGGATTGGATGTTTCCATCTTCATCTTCATTCTCGTTTCAAGTGCGCATATCTATTCCACTCTTCTTTCGACACCTTGTCTACTCACAGTGAGATACTTGACGCCCTTGTAGGGCCGAACCCCGTCACCTAGCCCTTTGGATTTCTTCACGTCGACGACCAGGCTGTCGACCTTGATGCCGCTTGGGATCCATCCCTTGACGTTGAACGAGACTGAAATAGACCGCGGCATGAGGGCTTTGCTTGCCTGCATCCGTTTGCCACTTCCATTCGGAGAGGGATCAGGCCCAGCGCCTGGATTTGCGACAACCTCTTCGTTGTAGTAGCCTGCCATTGAGTTCAACTTGCCGGCTTCAGCGGCTTGGGTTTCTTCGTCAAGGCCGTCAGCCGGGTTAAAGGGCCCGCTCACAGTGCCAGTCAGGGTTGCTGTACCGTTGATCGACGCCCCGTCTTTGGTGGGGACTTTCCACTCAACGACCTTGTCAAATGCGTTGAACGTTGCTTCACCTCGCGAAGCTTTTAGCTCGGTGACACTACGGACATCGGCGGGAAATGGGATGGTGACCACCACGGCTTCCAGTGTTGGGGCACTCGAACTGCCAGTATTCGAGCCTCCAAAGGACAGGGAGGATATTGGGCCTGAGCTTGCTCGAGGAGCGCTCGGCTTGGTGGAAGAAACAACGCCGGGGAAGTTGTTGTTGAGGGTGAGTTTGGCTTCGAAATCACATGCTGAAGCGCCTAGTCCACCACGCAGATCTACGGTCGCTGGGAGGAATATCCTGTCGGTTTTGCTGGGAGGTTGGTCGGTGTCCAGGGATGTGGGCATGAGGTCGGTCTCATAGCCGGCAAGCATAAACCGGCCGTCTGGAGGCACGAACGAGAGTTCTCCAGGATGCTCTTTCCACCTCGCCAGCCGGACACAGGGATGGAAGACTGGCAGTTGCATGGTTCGAGTGATGCCCGCTGTCTTCGCACTGCTAGTACCTCCAGGTGCAGTCAAGACCAGCAGCAAGTCTGGGATTCCGGATATCTTTGCAGTAAATGCTATTGAGCCGTGGGATCGCGCAGATATGGGACGGCCCGACGGTGCGAAGACAACAGAGAGATTCTCGATGATATCGACGTAGAGCTCGTTCGAGGTATGTCGCACATTCGACTTGCGCCAAGGTATAGCTGGGCCTTGTGACGTTGTAGGAGATGGACGTAGGCTGGAGGCGAAATTGCTGGACGGCCCCAGCGCCGGCGACGCTCCAGGTAGTCCGACTTGTGTGAACAGCTTCCCTAGCACTGAGGAGACTTCTACCGACTCCCGCAGTGCGTTGGGTTCCGTGTTGCATATGATGCCGCCATCGCACATCTCAGCCAGTAATTGGGCCACGATCTCATAACTGTCTTCGATCTTGCTCGTCAGGAGGGGGCTTCCCAGGAAGTCTTCGAAGATATCGAGCACCCGACTGAGGAAGTCGAGGATGGCCAGTGACTGCGCATCTTTGCTCGAGACTGCGATCAATTGGAGGGCCGAATGCGAAATGCAATACGCGGTCGTAGGAGGAGCGAGGTCTGACAGCTGCGTGACGGACGGTCGAGGCACCGGTCGAGTCGCTAGGCTGGCGATGAGGGTCTGCGCAGATGGAGGACGGCCGGAGTAGGTGTGCTCAAGGACGCAGTTACTGGTAAAATGTCAGTGCCGTTTCTCCCGGCCAGGTCCACGCCTACTTGTGATCATCGAAGATGTACAGTCCGTCAAGAGTGACGCTCATGGTGGGAGGGAGAATAGTCGAACTGAAGCCATGAACGGCGGCGGCGTCGAGGGGCGTTGCATTAGTTCAGCAGCGCCGCAGACAATTGTCCAATTCAAGCAACCGTTGGTCAAATCACACCCAACACAACACCTTCCTTATACTTCCTTCCCGTGTCCTTTCATTGACTACCAGGACCCTGACGTGCTCGTTCTCAGCCACATTCGGATCGAACAAGCAAATTGGGCAAGAGATGAAGCTCCTCCCGTGTCTACGATGGACTCCCGGCAGCCCTTTCGAAGCGAGCAGACCTTTCCAACGATAGGATCCGAGACGACAACCTAGTCACGGGCTCCTCAGCACAGTACCACCAATAGCCTCCGTGGACATATGCCCTCCGCACTTTGACCGTTCAGTGCGAGCCCACGATAACCAATGAAAGAGATCGCTTACTAGAATCTCTTGAGCGAGAAAGGGACAGAGTTCCCCTCGTTCCGCAAGGTTGGTCGGCCGTTAGCCGACGCAGAATTGGATGTATCTACTGAAATAAAGCGGTCTGCTATTGGGCAGCATACACCCTGTAACGCCAGGAATCTTACTGAATGCTCACATCTATGGGCCACCCTGCTGACCATAGCGGAGACGAGCTGAAGGGTTCAGTCAGCCATGCCTACGCAGTACCATCGATGAGAAAGAGCCAAGGAAAGGGTACCAGGCTTGATTCGGTGCTTGGAAGCAGCGGCCGTAACCAGCCGAGTTAACCATATGATACGCCGGACTATGGACGCCCTGTCAGGCCTGATTGCTAATCCGTAAAAGAATACTCCGTACTGTCGACAGCCTGGCCCGATTCGAGTAACTGCATATTACCCAAGCGGGGACGCTAGCACAGGGTGTACGTTCGCGACTATACATAAACTGGATGTCTACCACTCAGCCTCAGCTGCCTTTCTCCCTCAGCGACAACAAGAAACCCAATCTACAGATTGTCACATCAGCGGCTACTCGAGTTTACAGTCCAAAATGGGTGTCAAGACCTTGTTCCCACCATCTGCGGTGAAGCCTCAGTCACAATACGCTATAGGAGCCAACATCGCAAATGAAAGGACCGGCGCAAAGAAAACGGGATTTGGCTTCCTCAGTGGAGGTGATATCGCAGTACGTTGGGACACACCTAATGCCGGTTACTCACATCAAGATAGACACTTACCCCTTTCCAATGGCTAGCTCTTGAGAGACAACTTCTCGGTATCGACATGGCTGCTCCTAGGTGGCGCTATACAAGTCCTGCTGTCTTTCGTGTTTCCACGCTCATATCTTGCCTTTCCCATTGTTGGCCTCCTAGGCTGGAGGATCGTTGATGCTTATTTGATGCACTTTGGAATAAAGAAGAACGTCTGGGCCGAGGGTGTCATTGAAGGCAAATGGAGTGTTGGATATCCCTCCGAGGGGGAAACCGAAATCGTCCACGGCAAACCAGGCGATAACGGTCCTGGTGGTGAGTCATGATTCTCCTCAGAAAATCATGGATATTCCTTCTCTTCCTATTCCGACGTCTTGTGGCTCCCGGTTGCATTTTATCGGGAAAGTCACTCACACCACATAGCTGTGATGATTCTGGGAGCTAGAAGCAATTCACCTTTGGGCATGTTCGGTGATGGTAAGCCAACACTGCCACGTCCTGGCGTGACCGAAGTCTTACTGTCCATACAGGTTACAAAGAAGTTGCTGACCGATTCCACGATATGCTCGTGCAGTTGGAAGACAAGGCAGAAGAAAGTGGCTGTAAGCGTCTAAGAAAGTGATGGGTCCACATCGATCATACTGACCCTTCCTTAGTCATGGGAATGTCCACCTGGGTCTCTGCAGGAGAGAGACCTACAAGTAACGAACTCGCCACAATCTCATATTGGCGATCAGTTGAGGATATCCACAACTTTGCACTCTCGCCGGTCCACCGTGAAGCCTGGAACTGGTGGAACGAGACGGTCTCAAAGCACAAGCACGTTGGCATCATGCATGAAGTGTTTGCTTTGCCGGAACGTCAAGGTTGGGAGGGCATTTATATCAACTACCAGCCTACCGGTCTTGGAATGACGACCAAGGCAGTCGAGTCACCCGAGAAGGGAGGTCAAAAGCTGTGGATTAATCCCATCGTTGATGCCAGCCGCGGTGTCTACCGATCAAGCCGTGGCCGAATGAACAGGGGGGATCCCGAGGGCAAGAGCAACGACAGCGTCATCGCCAAACATCCTTATACCTCAGCTGTTCTCATGCAGTAAAGGGAATCATCCACGGTTAGCCTGGAAGTGCTCAAGCTGCCCTCGTCGGTGTTATTTTACTCCACGACAAAATACTCCGCAAATATGGCGACAATGAAGATTCCAACTTCTCTTTCAACTCGGCATCTATGGTTTCATGAAGAGTCAAGCTTACTATCTCGCTGACGGTTCTCGTCCTCAGCATTGTGCTGTACTTGTTTGAAAATCTCGAATTCCCCAATTGGATGATAAATTCGTGTTCCTGGATACCTCCACCAAAAGTCACCACTCTGCCACTTCAGGCAGAAAAGTCATCCACCACACGCAGCCGGTACAGCCTTCATCCTTCTCATCAACCCAACAACTACAGTAGACTCTGCTCCAGCACTACTACCCTCAAACGTCCGTCGCTTTTCTCTGGAGAGCACCCCCATCAATCAACAAACCCTTCGCCAGTCTCTCACCAGTTTACACCCCGCTGCTCCATTTTCACGTCGTCTCAAACCCGCCTTCCCGCCCACAATGCCTGGCCCGCGATCGCCACGAAAACAGCCGCTCCTCCACCAATAGACAACTCGCCCATGGCCGAGATGGGATTCCCCTCGACCCAACAAACCGCCACGCTCGCGAGGTCAACGAGATCGCAAATCAAGCCCAACCACAGCGCCGAGCGGAGATTCGAAGTCGCCACAGGCTCACTCGGCCCAGCGAAGCCGGGAACCCCCGTCGCGCCACCTGTAACCGCTCCTCCAACTTCACTGGTGCTAGCCGCTCCTGCCTTTCTCAACAACGACTCCCTGACGGGTCCATCTGCCGCCGCCGCCGCCGCCCCCTTGACCCGCTCAACCTCTGCGACCCTCCTCCACAAGTACGCGCCGAGCACGAAGTCTCGGACCCCGACCATGCGGCCGAACAGAGCGGATTCACCCCCGGCGGCGAGCGGCACGCCCCACATGGCTCCTGCCTGTCTTGGGATCAAGAGGCAGGACGCCCCCACGGCCATGCGTAGCGCGGAGAGGGTCTTCAAGCTGAGATTGGACATGGTGAACTATGCCGACGACGACGACGACAATACGGCAGAGGTGTCGATGCTTGACGAATACGGAGAGAGTCCGAGAAAGTGCAATACCCACTCCCGCACGGGTTATGTGTTCGTGGTCGCCTTGAGTGTTCAGTGTTGTGTTGTGTTGTGTTAATCCCACAGTACCGGTACAGGAAGGAAGTCGCTCGATCGCTCGCTCTTCACCACGCGAAAGGTAATTACCCTAAGATGCCGGGATTTGTGTTTTTTGCAGACCTGGCAAGCCGCGCCAGTAGACGTACTTCCGTTGAAGTAGATTTGGAGTTTCACTTTCTTTGGATTTTGCACCCGGTCAAGAAAGTAAGCAAGACTACCACCGACATATACCTTCCAGCTGGCATTTAGGACAATGAAATATAGCTCATTATATAGCTTGCTCCCTGCGCGCGGCTGCCACGCACAGACCGCCATGTTGTGTGACGTTGTTCGCGGTGGCCTTCAAAACTTCGCGTTGTGGACGACGCATAACGTAAGGCTTGCGTTGTGTTGTGTTGCGTTGTGTTGCGTGGCGTTGCATGCCGTTGCTCTGCATTACACGTGCGGGCTTCGGAAGTGGGGAAAGTCGGGCGGCCGTTGGATGGCAAAGTACATTTGATGTCCGTTGTCGTTGTCGTTATGTGTACTACTCGTATAGTTATTACGGAGTACCAAATACAGTGTGAGGTAGTCATTGCTCGAGAGGTGTGTTGGGGCGGGGCGTGCGCGTCATCTGAGGATGCATATCGCTTCGAGACAAGTTTCTCACACATGTTGCAACCACTTTCCACTCAGACGGATGTTTCGTACCATTAGTCTCTATTTTTTGCGTGTGTTCATGTTCCGGGGCTCATTCTCCTTCGATCTACTCTCTCTGCTGGTTCGGGGCTGGAAATTCCACCCAAACCCTCAAGAACGCCATCCCATCCGCAGGCACACCTTTTCATCATACACTGCAGCGCCGTTCGAAATGCCCCCCCATCCCTGACACATGTAGCTTTCATCAATGCGAGGGTTCATGCTCGTGTGCAAATCATCCGTCTGACAATATTGGCCGCCCCGGTTTCTACGCTGCTAAAGTCGAACCCTGCCAGCTCTGTCGAGCGTTGTTCCCCGTCGTCGACATCATAAGAAGCCTGGTATTGATAACATTTGTCCCATTGTAGGAAAATCCATTCGCCTTTTGACACTTGACGGTAAACAATAAAACACACCAAATAAACCGATACTCTAAAAGACTTTCAGGCGTCCTCTTCACTTCTTCTTGCCCTTGGACCGGCTTGGTGCCGTAGACGACGCGACGCTCTGAGCACGAGAGGTGGCTGGGGAGGTTGCCTTACTGCCACGAGAGGACTTGAGGGCGTTCACCTGCTTGTTCTGCTGCTTAGTTAACTTCGGCGCACAACAAGAAAATGATCGAGTACTCACGGCAACGCCATTCTTGGCCTTCTTCTTGACAGGCGCAGCTTCGCTGTCGTTTTCAACATCCGAACCATCGTCTCGGTCACGCCCGCGTCCTTTGCCTGGTCCGTGGCCGTTTGTGAGCTTTTCTTCAGCTTCACCAAACTCTCGAGACACAGTGTTCAGCAAAGTTGTGCAACGACGGCCGATCTCAATGGGCGTCCTGCTAAGGAAGAACCAGTCGAAACGGAACAGGGGTGATTCTCGGATCTCGTCACGGATCCTTTCGTAAAGACCTTCTCCGTCAATGCCGTGCTTGTCAAGCATGACCAGGAGAAAGCGGTCTTCCTCTTCCGTGTAAACCTTCTTGTTTGTGGTGGAGACTGTGTAGTTGATCTTCAGCTGCTGAAGCGGAACCCGATACATCTCCATCTTCTTGCGTAGCATCTTGCGTTGACGCTCCGTCTTTCGCAGTCTTTCTTCCCCAGCTTCGATGTTCTTGATATACTTGTCGAACTCGGCAATTTCAGTGTATCTTTTCCAGAATACCTTGGCGTACTCTTCAATCTCATCGGGTTCTTTGCTGTCGACTTCGGTGGCGATACCCTCGTAATTCGTCCGACCGAACTTCGCAGAACCATTGATGAATTGCTGAAAGTCCCGTCGGTTCCAGTTACCGAACCCGTGCTCTTGCATCTCAGCCTTCTGCTGCTTCTCCTCTTCGGTCAAGGGTTCGGCATTGTCAATCTCGTCTTGGGCGAGCCGCTGATCGGCTTCACGAGCTTCACGGTCGCTATCCGCTTCCTCGTCGTTTCCTTCAGCAAGCGGCACCTTGTAGCCAATCTCCTTGTGGTAATATGCGGTTTCCTTTTCCTGCAACTCCTGCAGGCCGGGCGGGAAGAACTGCCAGTCGTGAACAGGCACTTGCTTCGGAGCTCGAGGCACCTTTGGCTTGGTCTCTGCAGGGCGGCCTCCGGTTGACAGTGCTTGTTTGTAGTACTTGTCCATCGAATAGGATTGTTCCTTGCGTTCACGCTTGGTGGGGTTGATCCAGGTCAGACCGACGTCTTTCTTACGGTTCTCGAAATTTTCACCGTTCCATTCGTAGGCACTCTCGGAGGAGAACTTCTGGAGGTCGTCGATTCCGAGTTTCTCATACTTGGCCATGAGCTCCGAAGTTCGAGCCTCGCCCCGTCGCAGAATCTCGTCAATATCGTCCAGCGCGCCTGTTGCACCCTTGGTCTCGAACACCTTCTCAGCACCGTGTTGGATCATGTTCAGCAGCTCGTCCTTTGACGCAGCTTGCTTCGCCTGCTGCTGAGCGCGACCCTGCTGAATGACGAGCTGATCTAGGCGTAGCTTCTGAGCCGCTCTTTCAAGGACTTTCTCCTCGATGGCGTTCTCAGTCACAAAGCGGAAGACTTTAACTTGTTTGGTCTGGCCGATGCGATGTGCGCGATCCATGGCTTGAAGATCTGCTTGCGGGTTCCAGTCACTGTCATAGAGGACGACGATGTTGGCGGTGGTCAAGTTGATGCCCAGACCTCCCGCACGGGTCGTGAGAAGAAAGACAAACTTCTCTGAGCCGGGCTTATTGTACTCGTCAATGGCGGCGATCCGGTCTTCATGAGCAGTGCCACCATCAATGCGGCAGTATTGGTGGCCTCGAAAGACGCAGTAGTCCTCGAGAATGTCGAGAACTCTGCTCATCTGTGAAAAGATCAACACTCTGCTACCCTCCTCCTTCATGCGGGCCAGGATCTTGTCAAGAATAATCATCTTGCCGGAGTTGTAAATGAGATGTTCATCAGTCGTGTACGGCGGACCCGGTTCAGCGCCTTCAAAGAGGTAAGGGTGATTGCAGCATTTTCGCAGTTGCATAACAATGTTGAGCAGTCTGGTCTTGGATTCGCGCTTGCCACCGGCACCGTTGACGGCGTCTATGTCTTTCTCCAAGATTTTCTGGTACCATTTCACCTGCATCTCAGACATTCCGACATAGAGATTGAGCTCTTTTTTGGGCAGCAGACTCTTTTCCACATCGCTCTTCACTCTCCGGAGCAGGAATGGTTTCAGGACACGGTGGAGTTGTGAGACAACAGCGTCTTGATCTTCGTTCTGGCCAGAGAACCAAGCGTCGAACGCTTCTGAATCACCAAAGACATCTGGAAGCAAGAAGTTGAGGAGCGCCCACAATTCATGGAGGTTGTTCTGCAGCGGAGTACCAGTGATCAGGAGGCGATTCCGAGAACTGAACATGCGGATGATTTGCGCTAGGGAGGATTCTTCGTTCTTGATGCGGTGCGCTTCATCGACGATGATGTACTCCCATGCGAACTTCTTGAGGTGTGACTTCTCGCGCAAGATCATCTCATAGCTGGTGATACAGACATCGAACTTCTCGTCGATGAGGCGCTCATTGATGAGAGCATGTCGTTCATCTTTGGCGCCTTGGAGGACAAGCACGTTGACTTCAGGGGTCCATTTCTTGAACTCTCGGTGCCAATTGTCCAGGGTCGACTTGGGCACTGCAATCAGATGCGGGCCAGTAATGTCGCAAATA